TAATAATAATAATAATAATAATAATAATAATAATAATTTTTTTTAAATTTTAAAAATAATAATAATAATAATAATAATAATAATAATAATAATAATAATAATAAAGGTGCTGGAGATGTAGAAAGAAGAGAAAAAGCAAACGAGGGGTGTTTCTTGGCTTCCCTAGGCAACTTGTTGTTGCCCGGAGCCAATGACGAAACCAGCTTCAATATCATCAATAGCTGTGCGAATCGTTAATAATAATAATAATAATAATAATAATAATATTAATAATAATAATAATAGTAATAATAATAATAATAATAGTAATAATAGTAATAATAAAACTTCTCTCGGCCCTCCTCTGGGCTTCCTCCGGTTTTGTTTTGCCACCGGATGTGTTTCACTTCCCTGGTTGTATAATTCACCGGATGTGTTCGAGTTCCCTGGTTATATAATCCATGGTTGTATAATTCACCGGATGTGTTCGAGTTCCCTGGTTATATAATCCACCGGATGTGTTTGACTTCCCTGGTTGCATAATTTACCGGATGTGTTTGACTTCCCCTGTTTTAGTTTTCATTGCGCGTGCGGGAAACGTATTAAGCTTACGTGACGCTTCAGTCCGCTTGAGCCATGAATAAAGGACCGGAAAAAACAAAGACCCCTCCTTCATCTATGAAATAAAACATGCGGCAAACGAGATATGTGTCCATACCGAATTTTCAAATAGACACTGAAGCAAAAAGCAGTCTGCCTTCAGTATGCTGTGCACCTCAACAAAAGCGGAAATGAATACTTGCAGGATAAATTTTAACGGAATCCGTGGTACTTCCAGTGAAAAAATTCTGCTCGCATTTGCTGCTAGAACTTGCTGTTTTCCAGAGGCGCCGGATCGGATACCGTCAACAGAGCAACAAAGCCTCTAACACAACGCTATTGGAGGGGGGCGTTGCGGTTTTCCGTTTTACTGTTTTGGTCATTTTTAGATCGTCCTTTTGGTTTTTGCACTAAAATACCCGGTGTTTCGGGTTTTTGTTATCTGTTGCAGTATTCGATGTTTTCCTTTTTTAGCATTGAGGTTTCGGTTTTTGGTCAAGAGAAAAGTGTTTTTTTAGGATTTAGTTAGTTACCTGACTTCCCATACAACCTCTTGTAAAATGGAATCTTTGCAACTCAATACTAAGAAAAAGTGGCCGGCTGCCAGACTCTGTCATCACGTACTTTTTGACCTCAGCTGTCTTGTGACGTTATCAGGCGGTTTAGTTGTCTACACTTGGACAGCTCGGGCTTCTTTAATTAATTGCGCGCGGCCGATACGATTATCTTTGCTTCTTCTTTCGTGAACAAGGTTTGACAATCTTTGCGAGAGCATCTTTGGATCGGAGAGGTAATGGAGATGCTTCTATGGAAAGCTGCGAGCCTGTCTATCTTGCTGTATAGTCTGGGATCTTCAGGTAAAACGTTGCTCCGTACCGCAGAATGCTTAGCAAATCATTTATTTTAAATAGAATTAATGATTTCTCTTAATCTTCTGAAAACTTAACTTGAAAAGGTTTATCGCAAATTTGACGTTTGACTTTAGAGATCAGAAAGAATAACGACGAAAAAATACAGTGCCTTTTCCTAATCAAACAGGAAAAATTTCGAAGATCAAAAATACATTACTTGAAGTGGTTTGAAACTCAGTTCCGCTGTTTTACTGAAAGGCTGTACCCGCTCGTGCATGCAGATTGTTCGTTTTAAGAGGCTCCTCTGTGCTGATCTCAAGCTAAGATCAAAAGCGTGGCAAAAAGCGTTCTCGAACGCGCACATGGTCCGTGTTCCAATATCAGTGACTCAGCAAAATGTTCTAGACGACGGCATTCAAGGGGTCATGGAATTGAGAAGAGCAAACTGAAAGGAGAGGGGGGGGGGGGGGGGGGGGGGGGGGGGGCGGGGAGGGGAGGAGAATCGAAAAGCGAAGAGGTGGGAGGAGATTGTTGGGTGTATGATGAAGCACACCAGTGTCTTACCGGAAGTATCGTCAACTCAACATAACCAAGCAAGAATTAAGCTTCTAGCACTTGAACGTATCTAGAAATCAAAAAATCATAAAAACATGTTAAATAGGATGACTTAAAATTTGGTGGCTAAAAGGAGTTTTCCATTGAAGACGTTAAAGGACGTGACTTGAAAGGCAGATGCTCGGAAGTACCTTTGTTTTTCTGCACCATATAAAGTGATAATATTTTCCAAAGACTTCAGTTTCGATTTTTTTCGTTATTATCAGGCGATCCGTTTATATTCTTTTAACCGATGCCAGTAAATTCTTCGCTCCTTTCGGTTCACGTGTCCCGTAGCACGACCTTTTTACGGGATGGGGGTTGTTAGCCCCAAGCCCAACCCTCCTCCTTTATCCGGGCTTGGGACCGGCAAGATGGGACCAGAGGACCCATCCAGGCGGAGTTGCAAGGTTGTACGGGAACTCGGTCCTACGGTATACTAAATCTTGCCCGTAATTCGGCGGGTAGGTTTCAGAAGCCATATTAATTTTAGAAACCATTGCCAGTGAAAACGCCCTGCGTGATTGAATTCCTGGGAAACAACTTCCTATTGGAAAATCGATTGAATATTAAGCACTTGACAGTGAGCTTTGTTTCCCCGAGACTTTCCGTAGGGAGTTAGTTAGCTTTGTTCGCCCTAGGGAGTTAGTGAGTTTTGACCCACGACACTTGACTCGTTCTCCCCAATCAGAAAACGTGTTTGAGCTGAGAGGTATAACAAATGTGTTTATTTCTTAGTGTGCGATGGATGTAACGAGACGTTTCAAGCAGATAAAGGAGGCTTTCATTCGCCTAACTACCCACAACAGTACCCGGATGATCAGTACTGCTCCTGGAGGATCACGGTCAGCCCCTCCCATCAAGTGTACTTGATGTTCACAAGCTTTAATTTACAAGCTGAAAACAACACAGATGCTGTTTATATGTACGATGGAGACAGTGAGACAGAGAAGGTGTTGGGAGTGTTTTATGGCAGTGAACGTCCCTCCAAAGGAATATATTCCTCGTCAAACAGTTTACTTGTAGTATTCAAGTCAGATAATAAGAGTTCTTCCACTGGTTTCCAGGCCGTCTACCATGCTATAAATTGTTCTGGTAAGTTAAGTTATGCAGTCTTTTTCGGTTTTACAAGAAGTTTAAATGCTTAGTGTATCTCTGTAATTTTTAGTAACCGTGTCTTAAATTCAATAGTGTTAAATCAGTAAATAGACACACTCGGAAAATCGAGTACTGATTACTGAAGGAGGTGGAGTGACTTGGAATAAGAAGTACGCAAAGAGAAGCAGACATGGGAGTGATAGAAAATAAGCTACACAATCCTCCTGGGTTAGGCTCTACTGTGACGACCTTGAGAAATGATTAGCCAGAGATCTTTAGATTGGACGAGTACGAGACTGAATACGAGTACGATTTGCGAATTTCAAACGAGTGACGTTTCCAGAGTCCTCGCTCTTCGTGTTGCTTTTAGGTGGAGAGAGTAGTTCATGGGATGCAATGGGTATGTGACGTTATAACGTGGAGCATGCAAACTAGAATTGAAAAGAGGTACTCGTACTCAAATCCGAAGTCCCCTCCTGCTGATAACCCTCCTTCAATATCAAGGCTCGTCTCTAGGAGGGGTTCTCGGTGCGAGGTACCTAGCTAGAGGAACCAATGAAAATTGCACGATAGACCACAAGCTTAAATTTACTTGTAATTTTTGAGTAATTTTAAAAAATTCAGTGAAATAAATGTAGCAGTATATGTAAGTTAGTGATAATTTGATAAAACAGTTATTCCATATGCGTGTGCTGGATATAATGCGATTATAATCAATTGATTTCAGCTAAAATTCTGCGCCGTGACCTAGTTAGAAAAGGAATTGAATAGCGGGAACGTTATTTAGTCGATTTTCCAGCAAATTTAATTCGGGTGCCACTGGAACTTACATGTGGGTTCTTGATAAGAGCTATGAGGTTTGATGTTTTCGTTACAAAGATGAGAGCTACTTTTTAGCGAGGCCGGTTGCCAAGTTAACAAAGCATTTTCTTGAGTGATATGATTATTAGAAACTCATGACATTAATAATGTTTTTGTCCCGCTGTAGTTTCCTTTCTGAATATTTACATTCGAAGCGAAGGTTGCGACGATCCAGGAAAGACGTTTGGTATATGTGGTCGTGCTTACATCATGGTTAATGGAAAGGATCATTCGGTTCATCGGAGGGGCCATAATGTCGTCATTGTGGATGCTGCAACAGGTGTAGTAGCGCACGCTCAATATGCAGTGTTTAGTACAATCAGTATAGCCAATAGCCAATAGCTAAGCGTAAACTCCACGTTAAATAAAGTATCGTATCGTAAATAAAGTATTCTATGTTGTCGTACGCCTAATAAATGACATATGACGTCAAAATGTGGTAAGAACGGAAAAGTGGCACATGAGGCGATAGCCGAGTCTGTCACTGATGCTCTTACTATATTTTGACGTCTTGTGATTAATTACTGAGCAGACGCACGGCAATCATGGAGTCTTTGATTTATGTAATAATGCATTTCAACGACGTCATTTTTGCGCTCGTCCAATCAAACTGCGAGAATAATTTGACTTGTGAAATAAAATGAAATAGAAAATGCATTCAATTCCTGACCAAATGCACTTATGTCTCCTGTAGTTAGTGGGTTTAAGGACCTTTAAGAACACAAACTTTACTAAACGTATACTACATACCAACAGCGAGGTGAAAGCGTTACAAATCATTATGTTGCGTTTTTTTTTTTTTTTTAAATCAGATCCAATTCGACTTTACATGGTCGAATTGATTTTTTTAACTACACTCACAAGAAAGCGTATTTATCATATTTCTGATTATGCCAAATTGAAGCTTGGTTTGAATGCATAACTGACACGTGTTCTTTGAATATAGGAGCAGTGTTGGCGTCAACAAGTTATGACACTCACGGCACTATCGCTCAAGGGACCGGATTAAGCAAATATCTTAACTCCATTACTGAAAAGTAAGTTCAGGACCGATGAAGCTATCTTGTTTCTGCTGTTGTTATTTCTATTTTTTTTTCTTTTTTGGATTTCTTGGCATATGTTTTAAAGAAAAAGAATGTGAACGAAACTTATCTTGAGCGACTATTTCAACGTAAATGTTGTATAAATTATGGGTCAGAGGAAGCTACACACTAAAACAAACAATAGATTTGTGATCATTTTTATCGTTTTGAACCTGAAATGCTATTGGTCAGTTAGTACATAATTTACTTCGGCGCCTTCCTTGGAGTATCTTTAACATTCATCTATAACATCCATATATCTAAGGATTGCAATTTGTCTACTTTTACTTACTTACTTGGTTAGCTAATATATTTTGTGTAGTGTTACCAATTGGTTCATTTCAACGTTATGAAGATTAAAAATTTAATTAAGTTGCTTCAAACGGATTATTGACGAAGTTTGAGGCCAAGAAAGCCAAAATTTGGCCCATTTCCAGCCTTCTTGACCAAATGAGCTTCGGAAAACAAACAAACCAGCAAAAACAGCAACAGCACCAACAAAATATTACATGGCATAAAGAAAACCGGGGACATTGTGTTGTGTTCTTGGGCGGGACACTTTACTCTCACAATTTCTCTCTCCGCTCGGGTGTATGAGTGAATGGGTACCAGCGAATTAAATGCTGGAAGGTAACCCTGAGATGGACTAGAAACCCATCCAAGGGGGAGTACAAACACTCCTTGTCGCTTCATGCTACTGAAACCGGAATAAACTCCGGCCTGGTGGATCACTCCGCTCGTATGCAAACTTTGCCTTTTAAACCTTTACAAAGGTAACTTTACATTTATAAACCATTCCTGTGAGGGAAAGAGCGGGTAATCTCGAGCCGGGAAGACTTGCGTGCTTGTGGAGCTAGCCAGATGATAATGTAATAGTGTATTGATGGTTGATTTATTCACGAGAAAAGGCATTTAGCTGGCCATTTACTGATAAATCGAAATACCTGTTCTAAGTCACTGACTTTCTTTTAACTGCAGTAAAATCGTTCTAATCGCCATTCAAGACGAGGGATCTAAGTTTGTGAGACCAGCTTTAGGTGCTCTCAGGAGACTAGGCGCTAAGGATCCCATCCTAGTAACCTTTCGAGGTTCATTTGCTCTAGCTGGTTCCACTCAGAACAACAAGCCACATTGGGTCACACAAGACCAGCATGTTCGGTACAAAGGACCCAGCGAGATCTCTTTGAGAATTCTTCTCCAAAGCCACCGACCACGTAAGAATGTAGTCACGCATGTTTGACTTAAGAGTAGCGGTAATTGCGGTGGTAGGGTGCCAATAGCAGTAGCAGTAAAAGTGACAGTAGCAGTCACATAAGCAGCTGCCAGTAGTAGTAAGTAACAGTTCAAGAAGCAGTGTTGGCTGCGGTAGCGATGGCGGTATCGGTAGAATCAGCAATAAAGGTAGCAGCAGCAGTGGCGGCAGTAACAGTAACAGTATTAGTAGCAGTGGCAGTGGCAGTATCTGTAGCGGTGGCATGTAACAACAGTGGCAGTAGCAATAACAGTATCATTAGCAGTAATAGCAGGAACGATAGTGTTATCAGTAGACATATCAGTTGACATATCAGTTGAGAGCGGGGATACTCAGGAAACTCCTAAAAGAGACCATTCTTACACCAGTCTAAAACAGACAGAAAAATTGGAGCCAAAGCAGAGTAAAGTGACGATAAAGACCTAAACAATAAAAGATCTCGTGGGCGAAAAAATTTTAATTTTGTCAATATAGGCCTTCAACACAGTATGACGCGTAGTGGCATCGTTAATTTTGTTGCTTGAAGCCGTAAAAGATATCTTAATACGTAAAAATTTGAACATTTTAAGAGACATAAAACAAGCATCCCCCCCCTCCTTTACCTAAGATTCCCCCCGCCCCCGCCAGGTAACTATACTGATACTTCATTCCTTTAATTCTAAATTTCTAGCACCTCTTGGAATGGAGAATGGTGAGATTGCTGATGCCCAAATAAGCGCATCTTCACATTGGAATTATAATTACGCGGCAACGCAGGGGAGGTTAAGTCCTAAACGACGGAGAATCGACAGTGGGTGGTTTGCTCGTTCAAATGACCTCAATCAGTGGCTTCAGGTGGATCTCGGCAGTTTTACCACAGTGGTAGGTGTAGCGACTCAAGGAAGGTATTCATACAGGTGGAGACAGTGGGTAACCAGTTTCAACGTACAGTACAGCAATGACGGAGTGATCTTCCAATTTTATACGGAAACATGGAACTCCTCCGCGAAGGTATGCACGTGCGGGGNGGGGGGGGGTTGAGGAGAGAGGGAGATACTCTCCTAAATAGCTTCAAAAAGCATCCAGAAACCCCCCAAGGCATGATGTATACAAATATACACGTATTGTCTTGTTTTCAGTTCTTACACTTCTTTCAGGTAAATCCTAAGAGTCAGAAGATAGTTTGGGGATATGTGATAAATTTTATTAGAGTTCATCGGTCGACTACTTACAATGTCGTGGTCGTTTGGCCACCAAGAAATAGTAGTTATGGCAAGGGGATGTTGTATTGGGATTTTTCCATGGTAAAATTGCTGGTTTAGCCGTTTTAAAACGATGGTTCTTCTACAACCCTAGAAGGGTATACAGTTACTCGATATTACGACGCGCGCGATCGGACTCGCAGCCAGGCCATCTTTAGCGCTAATCTTCGCGGAAAATAATATGGCGTGGGAAGATTGTCGCGTAGATTGCGTTATTCGGAGAAAGTCATCAACTACGAAAACCCAATCTGTTGTAACGTATTTCAAACTCTCCTTTTTACCTCTAAATAATTCCCGGATTCCATTCATGCTGGTCCCATTCGAGTCAATCAGTTTTGCCCATTAAAAAATGGTTCAACGTAATTGGTCACTGGTTGGGGGGAAAATGATCTATAAATATCCCGCTCGCTTATCTGATAGGACAAGACCATATACCAGTTATGGACACTAGCATTATGACCTTCTGATAACGGACTCATGTCATGGAATGAGATGCCAGGGTTTCCTTAAAACATGGGGATTAATACGACAAACGTCGAGATTCTAAAGATATGAAGCTTTTTTACGAAATCTTTCTCTTCATTCACGTAGGTGTTTAACGGAAACCAAGATGGTGACACAGTTGTTTATAACGAACTGGATCCACCAATCACAACACAGTATATCAGGGTGAGGCCATTGACTTGGTACAAGCACATATCAATGAGAATGGAGCTCTATGGTTGTCAAGGTATTCTATACATGAATGATTTCTCAGTATTGTCATAATTATATTTAGCGCCCACTTCATTGTTGTTGGAAGTATCCACAAATTAAAGAAATCACCTTCAAATGGGCTGTTTATTTAACCTAAAATGCATAAGATTGTTGATCGGCCCAATTTTGGCCCGTTAGAGACCTAGATAGGTCAATTGGACAGACTTATGAAGAAAAAAGAAAGTTTTAGAAAAAAATGTGCTTTTCCTTAAGAGACGGATATTCGATTCTTTACGTATGTACTAGCTACGCAATACTTTCGAGTGGTATACCATGGAATATCCCACGAATTACTTATATTTTCTCGGTATACACACGAGTCCTACCAAGAAAATGCAACTGATAAGGAAATGAAATTAGTAGCCAAGTCAAGCAATGCGGCACACGCGCGTCGCACGATGGGAAGGCTGGGTGTCCTACCGTCTAGTGTATAGTATTCTGACTGGATGTATTTTTAAGGCATGGTAGAAATACTTAGACGGCACAATACCGAGATATGACGATTGTAATAGTTTAAAATTTTACTGTGGCTAAGTCTTGTAAAATTAATCTTCTTAACAGACTAGCCTTTCGCCCGGATAACTAGCGTTTCCAACAGAAAACACAAGACTACAGGGTGATTACTTTGCTTCAATAACTTTAGGTTGCATACAACCTCTTGGCATGGAAAGTGGAGTGATACCCGATTCCCAGATAACCGCCTCTTCAGTCAACAATAACAATCAATCTCCAGCACGAGCCAGGCTGAATAATTTGGGTTGGACTGCAGCTTTAGATGATCTCAAATCATGGCTTCAAATAGATCTGGGAAGTTACAAAATAGTGACACGACTGGCAACCCGAGGTTCTTCACAATCAGTAACTGCGTCCTGGGTAACCAGCTACAGGTTACAATATAGTGATGACGGATTCTTGTTCCATTTTTATCAGGAGCCAAGAGACACTTCTGCTAAAGTATACCCAGATTTTATGTGTGATCAAAAATTATTTTGTTTCGCATTCTTATTTCAAAGTCTAATTATTTAATATTTTTTCTCTCTCTTTTTTTTAATGTGCAGGTGTTTCGCGGAAATCAAAACGCTGACTCTGTCGTGTATAATAAACTCAGTCAGCCAATCACAACGCACGTCATCCGGATATTGCCTGTACAGTGGAGCAAATACGTATCAATGAGAGTAGAAATTTACGGCTGTCAAGGTACATACGTAGATCTGTATAAAAATGTAAACCGGGAGTACACACCAGTACTAACTTCAAATGAGAGCAGTTCGCCGAATCGATAGCAGTAAAAACACCTTTATAGGGTAAAAAGTTCGGTGTTTTAAACCCGATAGACAACTCAAGCTCTCTAGTTGTAAAATAACAAGTGATAAGACAACTATTATGTTGAGATTCACGGTGACGATTGGTCTGCCAATTTCAATTATAGCTTGTATAGCACCTCTTGGCATGGGACGGAAGTCAGTCTCTGATAACCAAATAAGCGCGTCCTCCCAACTGGATGGAAACCACTCCGCAATACAGGCCAGGTTGCATTCCAAGGCTGGCGCTTGGTCACCTCTCACTAATGATCTTAATCAGTGGCTTCAGGTGGATCTTGGTAGTGCTACCCGTGTGACTCGTGTGGCAACCCAAGGAAGCAATGCATACAACGAGTCGGTGACCAGATACAAGTTGCAGTATAGTGATGACGGAGTGACCTTCCAGTTTTACAAGGACGTTGGAGACAGTTCCGCAAAGGTATTTGCACGCTGTCAACGAAATATACATTTATTTATTAATTCATTAATTCATGTTTTAGCGTGTATCATCAAGTTATGATGCGCGTGGGGAGAGCACAAAAAAAAAAGCCAAAGAGAGAGAGTATCTTTAGCTTCTTGTATGCTTTCCAAAGCGCATCATCTTCATCTCTATGTACATCTACTAATTTCGGGTTAGGGTTAATTCGTAGCAGTCTTAGGTTGTTTTAAACAAAGAACAAGCTTTCAGTTTCTGAAGAAACTGTTGTGCAGGGTTCTTAGGCAATCAAGACACTTATATGACTGTACAAACGAGCATTAAAGTCCTCACGCGTCCCATGCCCAGATCCAGGACTTATGAAGAAGATGGCGATGAGCCTCACATATTTGAGTCAAAAGGGTGGTTGAAAGGGAGGGGAACAGTTACTCCCCCAGTCCCCTCCGTTAGATGTGCCACACATTGTTTAATGCATATTTCGTTGTTTTCAGATGTTTGATGGAAATCAAGAGAGTGGCACCGTTGTTTACAATAAACTGAGACGACCAATCGTAACAAGCTACATCCGATTTATACCAACACATTGGAACAATCGCATTTCAATGAGGATTGAGCTCTTTGGTTGTCCAGGTATTTGTATCAGACTGTTCAAATCAGCCTTGTTACCAAGATACCGTAAAGGTCCGAATTTAAACCATTTCAGAAATGATGATGAAATTTCATGGCTGTTAACAAATTTCGAAAGTGACGTCCATCCAAATGTTCAAACTTGTTATGACAAACAAGAGAACCAAGAAATAAACCAAACTGAACCAAACAGAACAAGCTGGCACTTGCTCTCGATGACTTATTATACATTTTTTTTAATGTGACCCTTTCTTCTCTGAATGTAATGTGAAAATCTTTGCTTTATGCAGATGGCTTGGGTCCTATGGGGTATACATTTTAGCTACTTAAAAAACGCGATTTTCCACAAGTGGCGATAAGAAAAGGCTGCTAAACCCGCAAGTAGTAATCATAGATACTGATTGAAGTGTCAAAACGATTTCAAGAAGTAGGGCGTACCTCTCGTTCCTGGAGAGAGTTCGCCTATTCTCGTTGGTTATCTCCTGTCGTTAAAGTTGGCTTGTACTGATCATTTCAGATTGCCTAGCACCTGTTGGTATGGGGAGTGGAGCAATCTCTGATAACCAAATAAGTGCGTCTTCACAAAAAGATGACAACAATGCGCCACAGCGAGGCAGGTTGAATATGAAGATAAGCGGAGTCAAGCAAGGAGGGTGGAGACCTCTCAAAACTGATCTCAATCCATGGCTTCAGGTGAATCTTGGTAGTTACATCCGTGTCACTCGTGTGGCGACTCAGGGAAGAGACGGATCCGACATGTGGGTTACCAAATATAAACTACTGTACAGTATGGACGAAGCGTCTTTCAACTTTTACAAGGAAGTACATCAAAAGTCCGCCAAGGTAAGACCGTGTTATCACAATTGCCTCGTGCATTTGACCAGAAAATCAGTGCTGTTCAAATGTTATTTCTTCATTAAAATCTGTTTCACCTCATGAAATAGTAAAAAGAGATGGCTCTGATTTTATCAGAAAAAATACGATATCTTGCTAATAACACGACGGCGGCAATCTTCGCCATTTTCTAGACGACCTGGGTAATGACTATAAGTGTGCGATAGCAGTGAATCGATTACAGTGTGTGCATTAGTATACATGCACTATTGTATTGGACGAATTCCAGCAACACTTACAGCTACCGTAACGGTGTATGTTTTGTTTAAGTGTATGCTTTGTTTTTGCGTTAAGGTGTTTGATGGAAATGACGACAGTGCCACTGTTGTTTATAACATTTTGAACCCGCCATTCACAGCACGTTACGTCAGGATAGTGCCGGTAGAGTTTCACAAATTCGTGTCAATAAGATTGGAGATCTACGGTTGTCCAGGTATTTTCCAGTGATTTCTAATGTAAAATGATAGTGCCTGAAGTTTTAGTTCCTGCTAGCAGTAATACTGCAATAAATAGTCCAAACCATGTCATGGAGAAGTACCAAACTGACATTGTAGACTTCATGTTAGTTGCATGAAAGCATCGTATAGCGGGAAATAGCTGCCAATGAAGCTTGAAGGGGCTGGGTCACAAAATTTCAGCACAGACCCACTGGTCATAAAATTAACTGAAGTAACACAATAACGGATAAAAAAGAATTCAAGAGAAACACACAAAAAGCAAGGGAAACACACAAATATACAAAAAACAAATTTATATCAATATGTATGAAAGTGCCATTTGCAATGCCTGGAAGGTATTCTTGTTTGTTTTGAGGGCGCGATTTCCCCAGTAAATTAATGTTACTCTACCAATTTGAAGTTTTGAGCCCACACGTGACGAAAATAAGCTGAATTACCTAAAGTACTGTGACCTGGCCCATTCTAACTGTTAGCATCATGATATGGATGACAGAAGTCTGGGATACATACTAAACAACAAATAGAAATTAAGTATCTAACAGGAATGTATTACAAGTGTAAACCTGGAAACTACCCAACTGCTCTTTACTTGCTACATTAATTTGCTAAAATGTATGGTCGAAGGCCAAGTCTCTGGCACTTGTATGAGTTATATTTTAAAGCTCTGTCTTTGTTTAATAAATCCAGGCTGCATTGCATCTCTTGGCATGGAAGATGGAGCTATATCCGATGCCCAAATAACCGCATCTTCACAATGGGATGACAATCATTCCCCGGCACGGGCCAGGCTGAATACCAAGATGGCTGGCCCCAAGAAAGGAGCCTGGTCATCTCGCCCATCTGATCTCAATCAATGGCTTCAGGTGGATCTTGGTACCTGTACAATAGTGACGCGTGTAGCGACTCAGGGTAGGAATGGTCACAATCAGTGGGTGACCAGTTACAGAATAGAGTATGGTAACGATGGAGTGAACTTTCATTTTTATCGAGAACCAGGCGACAGTTCACCAAAGGTATTTTTACCGCGTCAGCTTTTCTCCTAGTTAGCGGGGTGTGCGGTAGCGTAATGGTTTTGTATAGAATGTGGTTCATCCACGGTCTTTTTTCACGAAGGAAAAAGTTGCATACGAGGAAACTTTAAAAGTATAACTACAACCGGGAGGCAAAGCCTAAAGAATTCCCGCAAGTTTTTTTAAAGCTTTTGGAACAGTTGCCTTTAACAAGACTTTGCTAGGGAGGGGGTGGGGAGAAGGGGAGGAATTTTGGGGTAGCTAAGCCCTCTTAAATTTTCACAAATTCCCCCCAGAGAATATTTTTTAATTTGAGAACAAGTTTTACCTTATAATGTTGAATTTTTGCAATGATATCTAACCGAGCTCGCTTTTAGTTACTGGTACTTTAATCTAGAATTAATGGTGTTTAAGGTTGTACTGTAGCTATGGTCCCCTTTTATGTCACCACAATGGCCAAAACGTGTTCATCAATGATTGGGCATATTATTGTAGGATACACTGATAAACAGTGGTAGTGAAAGCCCTCGTCAAAGCAACAAATAGATCGTAATGTACTAACAAAACAGGCCGAGAGGAGCTTCTACACTTTGACTGTTTTCCAAATTCACAGCAATGATAAAGATAAATGTAGCAGTCGAGTTTGAACCTGAATAATGACCTGCACAAGAGGGTCACACTTTCCAGTTTAATTCTTCTTTTACAGGAGCTATTCAAGTTTGCTTAGTAATTGTTTGTGCGACGTTATTTGTCAGGTTTTCAATGGAAACCAAGATACTGACAGCATTATATACAACACATTGAATTATCCAATTACAGCGCGCTATGTCCGCGTAAGGCCAGTGTCGTGGCGAGCCTGGATATCAATGAGAATGGAACTCTATGGATGTCCAGGTATCTTAAAATTCATCTTATGATCGTTCAGCTCGTGTTGAGAAAATCTCCGAGTCACCCACCTTGGATGGATGTCGATAGCAAGGGATAGAAATGAGAAAGAAACCAAACAAAAAGCACATCATATTTCGTATGTGTTCGGCAGTCAACAAGGACAGATCTCTTAAAGCATGCGTAAAACAGTTTCATATAACATCTATTTTAACTCAAATAATCTAGGGTGTGTTGCACCGCTTGGTATGGAAGATGGAACGATCACAGATGCGCAAATAACCGCATCCTCACAAGTTGATGGCAACCATTCCGCTGTAATGGCCAGATTGAATTTTAAAGCCGATGATAGCAAGGCTGGAGCCTGGTCAGCTCTCAAAAATGATCGTAACCAGTGGCTTCAGGTGGATCTTGGTAGTTATACCCGAGTAACTCGCTTAGCGACTCAAGGTAGAAATGCATACAATGAGTGGGTGACCAAATACAAGTTGCAGTACAGCGATGATGAAGGAAACTTCCAATTCTACAAGCAGGTAGGTTAAAGTGTTGCTGAGCTCCTCAGTTGATTTACCAGTCTGAAACATAACAGGAACTTTTCCTGCATTGCCATCATGTTATTAAACGTTCTAAGGGCCAATCCCTACAACGTCGTTGGAAGTTGAAACGGATTTAGCGTCTTTAAGGCTTCTGCTGCATTGCATCATATACCTTCCTCTAGGAGGGTCTTCTTAAAACCGATTGTGTTGAAGTCAGTATTCTTTGTGGTTTTGTAGCAAGATTTAGTTTTACGTGGTGGGATTGCTAGTCCCACGCCCAACCCTTTACCTGGGCTTGGGACCGGCAAGCTGCTTCCTCAGCAAGGACCTTGGTGAGGAAAAGGCTACTAAAATAGAATTACCTTAATTGTACATCGGTAGAGAAACTTTGTGGAGCCATTTTCCAGAGCCAATATACATTCTTGAGCTAGAGAAGATCGAAATAATTCCATGCCAAGCAAAACGTGTTTAACACAGGACAAGGCAAGGTTTTATTGTCTAATTAAATTAATTGTTTTTGTGCTGATTTCTCTTTTCGTAAATTTCGCAAAATAAAATGGTAGGTTGTTGTTGCTGTTGCCGTGTATCGTCCTACAAATAAGACAGTGTGAGCCTAACATTGAAGAAGATAACGCTCTGACAAGCGCCACGTGAAGGCTTTCCTGTGCGTTTTTGAACGAATTATTTATTTTCTGCCAAGTGTAGGTGCTCGATGGTAATCAAGACAGCGACACTATTGTGCAGAACAAACTGAGCCCACCAGTTACAGCACGATACATCCGATTAGTACCAGTAGACTGGAAAAACAAAATATCAATGAGAATGGAGATTTACGGTTGCCCAGGTATTTCTATAACCAATAAATTCAACATCTTTTAGCGCCCAAGTTTTTGTCGCTATGCTATGAAAGAACTGGTTCATGCTTTTAGCTGTGTGTGTATCGAGCTATCGATGCACTTGGGAAGTTTGGTGAGCACTCAAGAAGCTAGTGATGGTTGAGGCGCAGCGGAGAGCAACTCTTACGCTTCCCTCGTGCTCTGGAAACTCTCCGCCTGCATCCACAATTCGATGTACGCACGCTGAGCATGAACCAATTCTTTATTTAAACGTATGTGAGTAGTACCTTTGAAACAAGTTTGAAACCGTTCCATGAAACCTGTGTTAAGAACGTCTTCATGCTTGAACAAATATAGCTTGTATAGAACCTCTCGGAATGGAAAGTGAAGCAATCTCAGATGGCCAAATAACTGCCTCTTCACAACTGGATGACAACCACTCTGCAAGACAGGCCAGGTTACATTTTACGATAAGCGGATACAAGCGTGGAGGCTGGTCAGCACTCAGAAATGATCTTCATCAATGGCTCCAAGTGGATCTCGGTAGTTATACCCGAGTGACCCGTGTGGCGACTCAAGGAAGAAATGCATTCAATGAGTGGGTGACCAAATACAATTTACAGTACAGCGATGACGGGGTGACCTTTGATTTGTACAAGGAAGGGGCTAACAGCTCAGCAAAGGTATTAATATCAATCATCCTCAGCCAGGATGTCACTCTAGTTGTATCCTTGATAACATCTTAGCTGTGGTCGGCTACTGTGTGTTACATGTACATTAATTTAATAGACTGATAAAGATAGACAAAAAACCAGCATCTCCAAATTCTAGTTTGACCAGGATAGAGGACCCGCATGAAAATCAGCAAAAGCTAATATTGTAATAAATTAGTGATCACTTCTTACAGGTTCTTAATTTCGTAAAACGCCAGTTTACAGGTAGGCTCGAATTATCGATCGAACTACAATGCAAAGCGAAAGTCAAGCCAGAATGAAATGATGTCGGTCGAGTGCCTACATGTTGATAGTTACACCCGAGCAACACACTAGCCAAGTATGATCTGCTTAAGACAAGTGGGTGACCAAATCAGGGCTACAACAGGCAAAGACAGAACACGCACAAAAAAAGTTGGTGTCAGGGCTAGGGACGTCCAACAAAATTCAGAATAAGAATACTTATTGTAGTTACCATTTGAAATCTGTATTTTTAGGTGTTTGATGGAAATCAAGACAGTGACACTGTGGTGTACAACAAATTGATTCCACCAATCACAGCACGCTACATTCGGCTTTTGCCAGTAGAATGGAAGAATCACATTTCGATGAGGATGGAGCTCTACGGGTGTCCAGGTATTCCCCAACGATTTATCAAGTGAGCTTGTTTTGTATCACATTATCCGTCATTAAGACAAAGCTCGAACTCTCCCACTAACGATCTTATCAATTTTTTACTGGTAAATGGCAAGCCTCCTCGAGCACCAAACACTTCCTTTTTCATATAGCATTTTAACAAAACAGGTAACCAACTCACATACTTATCACTGAAGTTTTGGACCAATGAAGAGAACAAGAGTTAACAAGAGCTCAAACTCTCGTAAACTCGAGGCGACCTTTGTGTGCATGCTCTTGACATCTCACGTGCTCGCTCGTAATCGGCTACTCTGGTGCAGTCGAATGTTTCTTGAGAGACGTCAAGATTCACTCATGCCCGCAGATCTGTTGAGGCTCAATTAAGGAACACTCTGGTATAACTCTCTTCTTTCAGCTATCAGCGAATATCCTAGTAATGTTTCCTAAGCTCGACAGCTTTTGAGATGACTTTTGTTTTGTGTTTACCATCACAGAAGGAAGTATGCAGTACTGTGCACGAGCAGAACATTCTTCATCATTAATGCCCTGTCCCACGTGGGAAACAGGACAGAATTCTGAATATTATTTGAAGCCAAATACGGTATACAGTAATGCACACGGGTAGATCATTATTTAAAGTAAATTATTTGTAGGTGATCTATGTACTCGCGACCAATAAAACGGTGTATTGATTCCACATACTTCACTTTTGCACAATTAACTTAGGTTGCGTGACACCTCTTGGCATGGAAAACGAAGCAATCCATGATACACAAATTGACGCCTCTTCACAACTGGACAGCACTCATTCAGCCAAGCAGGCGAGGTTGCATTCTAAAGCTGACGGAAGTACTTGGGGCAGCTGGTCAGCTGGCACAAATGATCTGAACCAATGGCTTCAGGTGGATCTTAGTACTTACACCCGAGTGACTCGTGTCGCGACTCAAGGGAGGAATGGGTTCTACCAGTGGGTGACCAAGTACAAATTGCAGTACAGTGATGACAGGGATACATTTCATGTTTACGAGGAACCAGGAAATGATGGGGCGAAGGTATTTCCATATTACAGGCTCAGAATATTTATCATTAAAAAAAAACTCTCGAGGCACCCGCAAAAATGATTATAAGCATGTTGCTCCTGTGAGTCGTATTCTCAAGTAACTGTTGGCTCTTCGTACATTTCTTGCAAGGTGTTCATTGGAAATCAGGACTCTGACACAGTTGCGTACAATACCCTGACTCCGCCAATCACAGCACGATATATTCGATTCAAACCCCTCGAGTGGTACAGTCACATATCGATGCGGATAGAGATCTATGGATGTCAAGGTATTCTTAATGATCATCTATTTTTGTTGGCAAGGGCACCCGACATCTCTAGAAAGCTTACCTTGAAGTAACTATTGCATTCTTCTCTGAGTACGTGGCGATTTTACGTTTGGATTGACGGTCCAATTTTTAACGTTGTCATCGATGACGAAAATCCTTTTCCATCGATCCTGTGGGAACTCTGGAAGTTATATGTGAAGGTTAAAAAAGAAAATTCGATGTCCTGGGGGGAATTATAGGAAGTGGCTCAGTCCATACAAACAATGTGGTTTCAGCAGACAGAAGATTATTATTAGACATCAGAAAAATCGCAAGTTATCACGGGGGGCCCATGGTATTCTGACTTGTACGATTTCTAATGGTTAAAAACCCTTGAGGGTCAGTCAAAGTCGTACAGGCGCATTATAATGACACAGGTCTTTTAATACTATAGGAAATCGAGCAACAACTGTAATTCGTCCCCAAGACATCACAAGAAGCTATTCTATTTTGAACAGGGCTAACAACATTCAAAGAACAGTTCATGCTGAAAGTTATTTTGTATTAATCAAGACATAAATCAAACACGCCAAACAAAACAAGTATCGAGTCTCACTAAACATGCAAACTTATGATTTAAAACTGGATAACTTGTTAAAATATGACTAAAAAATGCCAGTTTTCCCGTTTTTCAAACTTAGGTTGCAAAGCACCTCTTGGAATGGCTTTTGGAGCAATCTCTGATTACCAAATAAGCGCCTCTTCACAACTAGATAGCAACCACATCGCAGCACAGGGCAGATTACATTTCAAAGGCGATGGCAGCAAAGTTGGAGGCTGGTCAGCTCTCAGTAATGATGTCAATCAATGGATTCAGGTGGATTTTGGTAGTTACACCAGAGTGACAGCTGTAGCGACTCAAGGAAGATATAATGACGATCAGTGGGTGACCAAATACACGTTTCAATACAGTGATGACGGAATGACTTTTCAAACTTATAAGAAACCAGGAGATAAATCAACAAAGGTATTCCCAAACTGGCATTATTCTTTCCTAGGATCACTTCGTAAAAGAACTTGCAATCAAGAGAAAATGTGAACACTCGCCTGTTTTATGTCAGCATGTTGATACAACATCACGCCAGTCTCAGGATGCTTAGCAACTTATCTGGTGAAGAATAGGTGAAATTCCGAGTAAAAGAGCCACTTCTTACACTCCTGATTATATAGGTAGCATGTTATTTGAGCTTTAAAATAATGGTTTTGAATGGTCAATGAAAACTATTTTTGCAATTTTTCTTTGTTTAGGTGTTTGATGGAAATCAAGACAGCAATACTGTTAAGTACAACATATTGAGTCCACCGATAACGACACGTTATATCCGACTAACGCCGGTAGAGTGGCACAGTCACATTTCAGTGAGGATGGAGGTCTATGGTTGTCCAGGTATTTGTCAGTCCCAAGTCTGAACCCATAGAATTTAGAATCCAGTAATCAGTTTCTGTCGCAGCACTGGTCACAGTTGTATCATGCGCCCTTAAAATTTTAGGACCTGGATTGACCGATCAATGAATGCAATTTGAAGGTATCATTTTCACTCTAGTCTGCTATCCATCCCTTAGGCCAGCAGCTCCTACCACCAGTTCACCTCTCTTTGAAGTCTGCCTCCCTCCCTCTCCCCACCTTGCCTTCCCTCTCAAAATGGCAACCCAAGACAAATTATACGCAAAAAATAATTATTCTGTTCCACCACTTTAAGTTTGTGAATGTCCGCTATTAAATAGAAAACACATCTCGAGCAATTTTCAATGTTACTTTTCTGGTCCATGAGCTGATTTATGAATTATGTACTGTACCCTGCTATCATCCCTCCTGTCTCTCAACAAATCCAGGATGTAATGCACCACTTGGGATGGATAGCGGAGCGATCACCGATGCTCAAATAACCGCCTCTTCACAATGGGATCACAATCATGCTGCAGCACAGGCTAGATTACATTTTAAGCAAGCTGGACACAAGCAGGGAAGTTGGTCATCTCGTCCAAATAATGTTAATCAATGGCTTCAGGTGGATCTTCGTAGTTATACCACAGTGACAAAAGTAGCGACTCAGGGTAGGAATGGGCATAGCCAGTGGGTAACCCAGTACAGGTTACAGTACAGTGATGACGGAGTGACATTCCAGTTTTTTAAGGAACCACAAAGCAGTTCAGCAAAGGTGGGCATTTTGATGTTGAGAAAGTCATGAAGAGGGGCGAAGTGATATGAGACACCTGAAATTACTGGTGAAATGAGACTGATAACAAAAGTTTACCCGTGTTTTCACAATTTCTCTGAACTTTGAAATTTATTTTCTCGAGTTTCCATGGGAATTTGTTTTTGTTTTCTGGGGGGCACCTATTTACATCTCTAGCTTTGAAAAAATGCAAACAAGACTGTAATATACTTAAAATTATTCTCATGTTATGTTGTATCATATTACATTATATTATGTTCAAATAAAAAGCAAAAGATTGTTTTTTTTTCGTAACGTCAGCGGGGTCCATCTTGTATAAATCCCATTGACCTTTCAATGAAGCTTGAACACAATTACACTGTTATACTTTTCATATTATTGTCTATTGTCCAGTGTCCTCCGTGTGTAAATAGAGGCTTAATGTTACCAATAAACAACTATACCTAAGAATTTATCGACCACATGCTAAGTTTCGCCCTGTCCTCTCATTTTTCATTAGTTGTTCCTTGGAAATCAAGACACTGACACCATTATGTACAACAGACTAAACCCACCAATTACCGCGCGACACATTCGACTAAGACCTGTAGCATGGTACGGACACATTTCCATGAGGATTGAGATCTACGGCTGTCCAGGTACTTGACATTACTGCTGTGGCGTTGTGCATTATTCAAACTGTTAACATATAAGTGGTCATGTGTTAGACCTTCATCTATTATTATCGGAATGCGTTATGTAACGAAATCAAATGGCTGCCAAAATGGCAAATGAACTTCACGAGCTCAAATTCATAGCTTAACAAGTGTGATAAAATAGTTTTCCGACCTACTGCTACCGTTAAACCCTTTATATAATACTTCTGTTCGTTCTGCAACAAATTTAGCTTGCGTAGCAGCTCTTGGTATGGAAAATAAAGTAATCTCTGATGCACAAATAAGCGCTTCTTCTCAACTGGGTAACAGCCATTCTCCAAAGCAGGCAAGGTTGCACACCAGATCAGATCAAAGCAATAGTGGAGGCTGGTCAGCTCTAAGAGATGACTTTAACCAATGGCTTCAGGTGGATCTTGGCAGTTACACAACAGTGACACGTGTGGCAACCCAAGGCAGAAATGGATTCAATGAGTGGGTGACCAAATATAGGATACAGTACAGCTATGCTGGAGTGACATTTCAGTTTTATAGGAAGGCAGAAAACAGTTCAGCAAAGGTGTGCCCTTATTGTCTTTTTGATCATAGCAGGCGAAAAGACCGAATTTTCTACCAAGAACAAGCGTAAACTATTACGGCGAGCATAAACTATTACGTACTGGCCCAATAGTCCGAGTCACTTGTCCCCCAAACATTTCTGTCTAGTGTGATTAAAAGGATTTGATACGATTATTTCTATATCTAACAGTATGTACCTGTGTAATTGGAATTTCCTCAAAACTATTTTTCCTAAAAACAAGAACCTTCACTTCCACATCGGGGAGTCAAAGACTGAATCCACTAGCTCAACCACAAAATCCACCAGCCACGGGCTATGAGACATGGCTTTTTTCCCAAACTGGAGAAAAATGCAATGTCATGTTGCCAAAATGACGTTTGTCTAATCAAAAACAATGGGTGTATAGTTTATATATAGTCTATCATTAAAAAAGGATAACAGCCAGGAACTTCCTCATGTGATCGCCAGTAAAAAACATCCAAAAACAAAACCAATAACATTCGTGGATTTGCAATGTATTGGAATGATAGGTGTGTCTGCTAATATGCCACAAGTACACTGTAATTACTTGATGATTATATACATCATTTTGAATTTATAATCACCATCGTCATCGTCATTTCAAATACACAGATTCAGTAGCTTACTACATGATCGCAGTAAAGTATAATAACTCGAAAACAAATATAACATTTTGAATTTTTGTTCAGGCAATCCCAAAGCTCCCTTACTTTCTTCTCACTTTCTCTTCTTTTCAGGTGTTCGAAGGAAACGAAGACAGTGATACTGTGATATTAAACAAACTAAGTCAGCCAATCACTGCACGTTACATTCGGCTTTTACCCATTGAATGGCATAACCATATATCAATGCGAATAGAAATCTATGGTTGCCCAGGTATATATTTTTTATCTTGTAAAAATTTATTCATTATACCTTTACTAGTTTTTTTGCTTCACCTCTAGGACAGTTGATGCTCTGTGAAGTAGTAAACACTAATCAAAAGAAATTAGTAGTAATGTTCCGAGACTGAAAAGAGCAGGTCTCAATAAGCACGACTGCAAATCACATAATAAAAAGTAAACAAAATATATTGGGGTGGAAAAGTACACTTTCTAAACACCAAACCCAAGTATAGTTGTTACGTAGTTGGAGTAGAGGCAGCCATCCCAATTCTATTCTTATGTTATTGGCATTCATTGGGTAATGACAATTTTTTCTTTTCCTTGCTCGACTACCGTAGGGTGTATAACGCCTCTTGGCATGGAAAGTGGAGACGTCGCGAACGCCCAGATAAAAGCATCTTCAATGTTGGATGGTGATAATTCTCCGGGGCAAGCAAGGCTGCATCAAAAAGCAGATGGACGTATGGCTGGAGCCTGGTCAGCCCAAACAGATGATCTTAATCAGTGGCTCCAAGTGGATTTCGGTAGCTACACCAAAGTGTCACGTGTTGCAACTCAAGGGAAGAATGGGTTCAACCAGTGGGTGACAAAGTACAAGATACAGTACAGTAATGACGGTGAAAACTTTTGGGTGTACAAGGAGCCAGGGACCAGCTTAGCAAAGGTGACTTCATTCACTCATTTTACGCTTAGTTTCCATTTACCTGGAAAAAGTAGGAAATACCTACATGTGTAATTATTCGACTGCACGTATTACAACCCTGTCAAACAGGGTCAAACCACGTACAGTATCTGGAAAGCCGGCTGAAACATACATATTTTTTGATTGTCGGACTCTTTGCTTCCCAAAATCGTACGCTACAACAATTTACTAACAGGAAAAGAAATTATCTTGCAGTAATCTTATATGTTTTTAGTGTTATTGTCCCATTTAAACTAACCTTCTCTTTTAAGTTTATATTTTGTGCAGATGAGTCAACAAAGAGAAATTAATCGTCACTAAGTAGTCTACCCCCTCCTTAACATCCCGAAAGAAATAATTCCTTTCTATTTAAAAGTTCTCCCTAAAATGGTCTTGAAAGCTAATAAACTTCGTGAGCACTCAATGTGGTATTTTGGTGGTAACCTTATCAACTGTCAGTTATCTAACAAAGCAACACATTTCGTTTCTGTTATGTTTAGGTGTTTCGTGGAAATCAAAATAGCGATACCGTCGTTTACAACATTTTGAGACTACCCTTTACAGCTCGCTACATCCGATTCGTACCAGTTGATTGGCACAATCACATATCAATGAGGATTGAGATCTACGGTTGTCCAGGTAAGAAGTTCCAGCAATTTCCAGGATCAAAATTTTTTAACAACTGTAAATATTTTATTTATTGAAATATAACAATTCATGGTAGCTTAAGAAAATATATCACAGAAATTAACTTTAAACTTGGAATATTAGCTTACAAATAGGAAAACGTACAGAAAATTTCAAGTGTTCACGGCTGCAGTGTCCTTACTGTAAAAGAAATGGGGAAAACTTATACTACTACTGTCACTGAGCGACAAAATGGCAAATCTAAGCAGAGCTTAAGAAATTTTTGGTTTAAAAAATTGCCGCATTTAGTACATAAGCATAAATTATTTTCTCTTGCACGAAAAAAAGGTTGCGCTGCAGCACTGGGCATGGAAAACGAAGGAATAACTGATGTCCAGATAAACTCATCTTCACAACTGGATGACACTCACACCGCCAGTGAAGCAAGACTGAATTTTAAAGCAGATGGAAGCGAGCGGGGAGGTTGGTCCGCTCTCACTAATGACTTCAACCAGTGGCTTCAGGTGGATCTTGGTACTGTTAACCGCGTGACTCGTGTGGCGACTCAGGGGAGGAATGGGCGTGACGAGTGGGTGACCAGATACAGATTACAGTACAGTGATGACGGAGTATCGTTTCTGTTTTACAACGAGACTGTAAGGAGTTCAGCAAAGGTATGCTAGTTGTCGCCGGAATGTTTTCATTTACGATATGATATCTGGGTGTGTGAAGTGAAGAGGAGCGTTGTAAAGAAGTGGGGTACGGGACTAGCACCGGATGTCAGTTTTGCTGGACTAAGACAAGCCCTTCGGACTTACATTTCTCAGCAATAAGGCAGAAACGCGAAAGGCCTTTGGGGTCCCCTCCCTCCCCACCCGTCACTGCAAAAGCTGTAGATAATCAGTAGAAATTCGAACTTTTGTATATCCAGTAGATCAGAGAAACAATTATAGGTTTAACTTTTCGCATTTGGCAAACCCAACTGAAACTCTGGTTTTACCCTCTTTTCTCTCATGATCAGGTATTTTATGGAAATCAAGACAGCGACACTATAGTATACAATGTTTTGAATCCGCCTATTACAGCACGCTATATCCGAATAAGCCCTGTTGAGTGGCACAACCATATATCAATGAGGATGGAGATCTACGGTTGCTTTGGTAATGTATTATTAAATGATAACTACGGGTATTCGTATGTATGCAGTTGAAAAATACATCTCAGTAAATCGTCAAAGTATTCTGACTAAGTTTTAACACACGATACATCAATTTAAGCTACAATTTTGGAACTTAAATTGCTTTGTTGACTAACTATGATGTCCCCAATCGTCACAATCAAGAGAACAAGAGCAATAAGTGAACTGTGCGTAACAGGACTTTCGATTAATATTCATTTTTTATCAAAATGCTTATAACCCTACCCTCACCATTAATGTAACTTTACGTTTAATTGTAATTTTAGCTTTTTAGCCTTTTTATTTCGTTTTTAATCTTGTCATGCGCATTTGAACATGAAATTTGCACAATATAAATGTATTATTATTATTATAAAAATTATTATTATTATTATTATTATTATTATTATTATTGTAAGGCACCTCTAAAACCATCTAAATATTAAACTATGTTTGTGGCTCATTCATTCTTGCCTGAAAGAGGCTAGATAACTAATATTTACGAAGGAAACAGTACGATGTACGAGATAGAATAGCCAGTGAGTGGCTTCCTATACCGTAACTCAATTTCCCTTTCTGTACAGTTTTGTTTATTGTGTCCTCATTTGCTGTCCAGAGACTTTTGTTGTTAATTTTACGTCTCGTTTCTTGGTTTTCGTTTACAGATTTGGATTTTCTTTTTTATGGTAGTCCGCCAGTAATCACTGGCCTTGGGTTTTTTAGCGAAATTATACAATATCCGGTCGTTAAGATCGCGACACGCGACTGACACAGCAGAATTATTCACACTAGTATTGTTTATTTTTAAGTGCCCACACCTGCTCCAACTTCACCATCGCCGAAAATGACGTTAGTTGCTAGTATGCCAACAGTGGAGTTCCGAACGGAAGCGAATCGAGGTGAAAATAAGGCGAGAAAAGGTAAAAGAATTGTTCGTTAACACTGTTCTTCTTTGACGTGACTCAATGCTTTGATCCCGGACTGGGCTAGAGGAATGGGTCGGTCTTCCTAAACGAATTTGTTGCTTTTTGTCTCCGCTTTGAGAGAAGTATCTTTAGACATTTTTTTCAGTCTAAAACAGACTTTACAAAAATTATTTTTTTCAAATAAAAAGAATCGTCAGAATTAAGTCTAGTTTGCAAAGGAAACGAAAGAGTGAAATAAGTCAACACGATACTTAGATCGTTAAACCTGGGTAAAAGGGTACAAAACAAAAGAAAAAGTCTATTTTCGAGCCCAGTGGCCCATCAGGCCGGAGCTTATCCCGGTTTCTGTAGCAAGAAGCAACTAGGAGTATTTCTACTCTCCCTGGAGTAGTCCATTGCAGGGTTTCCCCAAGCATTAAATTCTCATACACCTGGATGGAGAGAGGCACTGCGAGAGTAAAGTGTCTTACCCAAAAACACTTGATAATAACCCCAGTCAAACTCGAACCCGGACTGCTCGATGCGGAGCCAGCTCATGAACCGTTACGCCACCGCGCCTCAAATTAAAACTGGGATTGATTGAAAATGCATGCAGCATGTTGAAACGATCCAAACTATAACATACGTTTCTCTAATATCGTGATCTCATAATAACTCTGAGTTTATTGACAAGTGCTTGTTAACTTTCGATAGGTGTTAACGTTCCCGCCATTGTTGTACCCGTGGTGCTGTGTATTGTGATACTGATCTTGCTGTTGGTTGGCTTCTTTTTCTGGAAAAGGTGAGACTTAATACACCGGTTGATGGGTTACCTTGTTCTAAATTAAGGGGCAATGCAAAGGTCGAGAGAACTAACTCTTTCAAACCAAATAAACATGTTAAGATAAAACCGTTGGTGTCTCAATGTAGCATTCAAATTCCCAAACGTCTACGGGAGCTAGAAAGGAGAATTAAAATTTGGAGCTTCACTACAATGCATTTTCATATTTATTCAACTACTAATCGTATTACAAGATTCTCCCATACAGTGACATTGACACAGCTGTACCATCAAGACATATATTCATTTGACACCTTGAAACGTTCAGTAGTGTCCGATAAATGATAGTGTGTTGTTTTCTTTTCATCCAGGAGATATGGAAAGGACCTTAGCATTAAACCAGTGGTATATAAGAGGTCAGTGAAGACCAAAACAAAACATGTGATTTCCCTGTGGATGTACCGAAATAAGCCCCAACACCATCCCATCATTTTATATGAGAGTCAAACACTTCCTTCTCAAGGAATAAGACAAAGATAGAAGAAGTGGATACAAAGATGCCAGAAAATATGGGGAAAGGGTGTGCGAGGTCAAGATAGGCTCCTTCTTGCTCTAAAAATCGAGAGGGTGGATGGAGACTTTCCTGCTGCTCCAATGATAAACACCATCCTAGGATAACTTTTCGATTCCTGGATGAACAGAGGAACCTGGGGGCATGCAAATTCCAGAAGTCTCATCATTCACGTTCTCAAAATCAACATATTTAGTAAAATAATGCACGCTGTATCGTCACAGGCACAGACTCTTAACATAATTTAATAAACCTAACGGGTTATTAAGCTCTTCAGTCGGACATTGGTAAGGTCTCACTTACGTGACGCGAGACGCGTGACGCGCAAGCATTTGTGGCAAAGCCACTTTACCATGTTTACGGTATTCGTGACAATCACGTTATTATCGGCTTTTGCGATTTTCTCCTAATTTTAATTGTCTGACTTCTAAAGTGAAATAGACCTGGAACGAAGTTACTCCCTCGTTCAACTGTTTTTCTTGAAAGCTGCTTGTCGTTTAAATTCTCCATTCTCTTCTTTAATTTTCAGGGCAACCGATGATTTACCCACAGCAGCAGAAAACTTGTCCAATGACCGGTAAACATCTTGATACATGAAACTCATGAACAGTATAGCAGTGGTGCCTCAGGACACCGCCGTAAACGTACACAACGTTTAACCTTTTTAAACTATAATAAACTGTAAGATGCCAACAAGTTGTGATCCCGGGCTGTCAAATTGCAGCCGCAAAGGGACTTCAGGAACAAGTACCTGCATTATTGCGCCCAAATTTTAAGACCCAGCCAAGAGGAAGGCATCTCACTCACTTTGAATAGAAAGTGATAATTTGGATACTAACATGCTAGTAGTTGAGTTTCTTGCATATCTTTTCCAGTGATGCAAAATATCGAAAGTCACATCCCTTGCCCTCGAAACTCAAAATGGAGCGACAGATAACCCTCTCACTCGGCCCCCGCCCCCACAGAAGTTTCGAAGTATGTTTAAGGTGTTCATACCTGTGCTCTCTTACTTCCTAACAGAGATGTTTTGCTGTTTCAAGATTCCTAAGACATTCTGCAACGACAAAGACAGATAGCTCTGACACCACGATCATCCTGATAACCACGTTTTAAGTTTACTATGTTAACAACTGTTCACCGATCATGTACAACAAGATGTACCTTCAAATAATTTGTTAGTGAAGATAAACTGTTGGTCCAACGCTTGTAATGCAAGTTATTTGAACTGAAATCGCTGGTAATTTAACATATCAAATGCCGCTTAAGTTAAAAGTAAACTGCCTGTGTGCTATACTATTATTTTCCTTGCGACTTAATTTTGATAAGATTTGGGCAGCGCTTTCTAAGTTTACACTAGCTTATACGCAGTCTTGCTGTAACCACTTGCTGCGATATCATTTAACTTGCATGAAGTATTACTGTATGTATGTTGAAGTGTTTAGTCATTTTTATCAAATAAACCAGGAAAACACACAATGTTGTCTTTGATCATCAATTATAACGAATAAACTGCAGTCCTGGTGGTTCGAAGTAAAACCACTTACGGTTTATAGTCTCACACTTGTATTGCAATGGCTGATTTGTTAGCACGGCTAATCGTGATGTTGGTGTGTAGTCATTGAGTCTCACGTTCGCGTTAATAGACGTATGAACGGCTTGCATCTACGGAAAAAAATTGAATCTGGTTCAACTTTTTCGCGCAGACAAGCTACCCACACATTTCCTCTATTGCACTTTACCCACGTAAAGTCGTTAAAATTCAGTTTCCTCAACGCGTACAAAATAACGTCAAAGTAATAAGTCCCGCCTAATGCACCTACCTGTCACCCAATTTTTTGCGTTTGAATTTGATTGCGTTTGATTGTAAAAATAAAAGGAACCATGAATTGACCAGAGTCGCCTGATATGCCGCCGAGGCGTGCCAAAAAGGTGCGATTAGGTATAAATATCAGTCAAGTCCGTTACCTTACCGGGTAGCACTCTTTGTTTTATTTGTGTTTGAATTTTTTAGTTACCGAATTTCATTTGTTTGTGTTTTATTAGTATGTTAGTCGTGTCTTTGATTTTGATTTGAATTTAGTATATTTACAATAACCACAGTAAGCTAAACCCTACTTAGTGAAGGTGATAATGGATCTGTTTTACTGTGAGGGGCCCTGATGGACTGGATCAAACTCAGTGGTCCATAGTGATACCCCGCTATAAGTAAGACCTCGTTTTAGGTAGTTTTTACGTGGCTTGGGCAGATTCAATTTCATCTCCGCGTGCCTAAAATTATATCTATATCAGCACACCTTTTGTTGCTTTTATGTATGATTATAGTTTTTGAGTTTTATACTTTTTTATCATTCGTTAGATTGTTACTTCAACTAATAGTACGCTAGTTGTTGAAGTTTTATAATTATTCCACTTTCATAGATATCCACTGGACCCTTAGTTTTAATGTATAATATATATTAATTTATGCGTGATCTATGTAACGCACACTTCAGCCCGAGGTGCTTGTATTTCTGAGAAACCGAAAGGTCATCATGGCGTAAACATGGAGCACTTTGCGTTCGCTCTTCACCCTAACTTTACCCTAACGTTGGTACTTTGTTTATGGAACCAGACATGATGCTGTTGCAAACTTTATGTGCGATAACCGTCCTGTTCAGCCTGCAATCATCAGGTAGGTTCAAAGAGCATGTACACGAGACTATAGGCATAACAAGTTGGGAAATGTAAACAACCTCGAAGCTAAAACTACATTGCTAACTTTGACAGCATTATTTGGCATGGTTTCTGATACTAGGTTAGGGAAATAACTGTAAGAAAAATAATTTAGTTCAGTCCAAGCACACGACACAGTTATCCTGGCCGTGATAATAATGGTATTTAACAGAAAAAGACAACCGAGGATACATAGTATACTTCTAATGAAAAGTAACGACCTTCCTAAAGTAGCGACCATTCGAAAAGAAGCGAACCGAAAGTCTTAAGGTTTTTAGAAGATCTTGTAATGTACCGACCGGCCCTCAGATAGCTACTTCAAACGTGACTTAGTATCAGAGAAGGAGGAACAACAGACAGGAGAAGCGGTACAAAACTAATGTAACGTGACCACAATTTCAAGGGCAATATCATATATAACTTTTTTTAAACCAGGCTCGATCTTTTAAATCTTCTAACTTAAGGTCGTGTTCTTTTGAAACTCTACGGCAAGATGTAATACAACATTCGGTATGTCAATTTCGAAAGTATTCTAAGTTTATTACAGGACTTCGTGAACACCTCCTGAACTAAGTTCTGCCGATGGATCGCTTTGAGTTGGGCGGCCAAATTCAGCTAAATTTTGAAGGAATTTCTTGAATTATAGCAACCGAAGGAGAATTCTAAATGCAAAAGGTTGTATAGAAAGATTTAGAAAGTATACTCTAATGGAATCGAATCGAAGAATCCAATCGAATTCAATTCAAGTCAGCAAAAGTAGACTGAAATGGAGTTTCTTCTCGACAATTTATGTCGATTAGAGTTCTCTGATAACATACCTTGCTAGAGGGTCGTAAAGGGGTATTCTCTTGATGCGTGATTGGCTGATTCTATTTTCCGTGAAACGTGAATTGAGGAAATTATTCTTCGTGACTCGTGACCTGAGGTTTTGCGTGACCCGTGAAGAACCTGTTTTATTAACCGATATTTGTAATTTTACCACTCTATTCTACATGATTTTGAGACGCAAGTCCTCCGAATGTTTAGAGTCGTCTATCGAGAGTGACTTAGGCATGCGATTTGCAATATGGAGCCTTGACTTAGCCATTCGCGAGTTTGTTTTCTTCAAACACTCTTTCTAGTGTAAGAAAAGGTTATTAAAAAGAGTATCTTACTTGCGTATTTTCGTGATTCGGGAAAACGAAATTTTTATATCCGTGAACCGTACCAGAGAGGCCCCCCTGTACGACCCTTTTGCTAGGAATCATGTGAATTTGGCGTGATATTCTCGGAAACGTGACCTGAAGTATCCAATCGGGATCACTAGTGCTCGGGTATCGAACATTTGTTTACTCAAGTTCAGTGGACCACAATCGAACTCAGTCGCTCGAAACGTATTTAGACCTATTTACGCTTTTGTGTCAATACAAGACTCTGAGATTAATAATGCAGGGTTAAACGTGTAAAAAAAACTAACTATATTATCTTTAAATCGAGACAGAAGAAACTTAATAAAGCCCTTTCCCTTTAACTTGGGGTTCGAATCCCGTTGAAGCCCTGATTTTTTTTCAGGCTTCTTCTTTCCAATTGCTTAAATTGGAAAATATACTGCGATGATCATTCTTCACTTTCATCTACAACCGCAGTTCATATATGAATTATTTCATATAAACTTCACATGATCACACCTTTGTCGCATAAACCTTAGCCAATTTACCACACTCCACCAAGACCTTAAAATTTGGAATTCTCTACCAGTATCTATAACACGTTTAACAAGCTTTTCCAACTTTAAGAAAAAGTTGATCACATTTTTATTTACAAAATAGTGAATTGGTCATGCCGCGCCTGCAGAAGTTAAAATTATTAATACATTAACTTCTTAGGTGGCCTCCGTTATAAGTCTGGTGATTTCTTTTGGAGGTCTTCTCGCCGCTTTTTGAGGATTGTCAGGATATACCTTTTTTATTATTTACGTGGCAAATAATTGATGATGATGATGATGACGACGATGATGATGATGATGATTAATTTACAGGGTCTATTCAATGGCCAGCTGGAACATACGGAATACCCAAACCTACAGCCGGGTGTCCTCAGGCTGATGGCTTTCGTTGGCATACGGGATGGATGCTTCAGCGTGATGATTACCATTATCAAAATAATGGTTCAGAATCAAACAACTCAAGGTCACTGGAATTCCACATTGATGGAAAAGTAGATATCTTCAGAGTCAATAGATCGTTCTGCATGAAAGAAGACACAACAAAGGACTTCAAGTATAAGCGACCAACGTGGCCACGAGGTTCGTCATGTGCTATGTTTTCTTAGCTAGCTTGTTTTCGAGGGCGGATTTAGGGTGGGGGAGGAGGATGGATTGGGTGGTAAGCCATTCCCCTTTTGGAGAAGCAAAACATAAAAAAAAAAAATTGAAAAAGATTGTGAATGGTATGGCAGAAATAAAGGCAAATGCTCTGGACGGGTACCTCTTTGTAATTTCTACTTTGTGGCATTGCTAGTATATTTGGTATAACAGTTCTCAATTAGGTTCCAATTCTCAAATTGCAGCAATTTTGGGGCACGCTCCATTCATTCTGCAAACCCAAGGTACCGGCCATCCCCTTGAAAAAATCCTAGATCCGCCCCTGTGTTTTATTCAACGTCCAGCTCTATATAGTTATTTCCTAAATGGAATTTTTCACTCATTGCAGAGAAATACTGCATTTATAAAGGGAGCGACCGTTGTCGTAAAGGCTTGATACTTGGATGGGTCTTCTGGGCTGACAGCTATAGTAACGATGAAAAAGATGGATTTTTTCCTGATGGCAGATATTCGCAGTACACAGAGATTAACTTCTGTTGTAGAACAGATGGAGATAAAGACGAACCTATCCCCCTTCCTTCTAAATCTCCATTTTTTTTGCTGGCTTACGAGTCAGCGAAATGCCAGATGGTTAAGTGGGCAGTAACTAGTCTGGAGTGGATATATTATTTTACACGTAACAAGGAGAACGACAAAAGAAATGGCTCGTATCCTTACAACGCTGGAAAAATGCACCCCACCATTTATTACTGTTACTACCAGGGTGAGAAAACATAAATTAGTGCGAACATTTTTCCTAAGCATCTTAACTCTGAAATTGAAAAAGGACTGCACGACTTCCCATAGCAAAACCACTATAGATGACAATTATCATGCGAATTCATCTTTCTCTATAGAGCAATGCCATTTTCATAGTTTACTAATTAAAACCTGTCCACCAGTTAAAACTCCCAAATATATAGGGGGAAATTATTTTTAAGGGTAATAGGGACCATATTATTTTCCAGTCAAATTAAGGTGGGAATTAGTTTCTAGAATAACTGGGAAAATAACTTCATCGTGATTGACTGAGAGCAGGCCAATTTATCGTTCCTTTTTAATTTGAACTGCAGTGCAAATTAATGCTGGCGCGTTCTTGATTTTCTCAAAATAAAATGAATACTCGAGCAATTAAGGATTTGCATTACTCGTGGCATTTGAAAAATCTTTCAAATTGTACTCGCCTAAAGGCTGGTGCAATTTTGGGAGAATTTTCACTAAAGTATCATTCGTGGAATAAATCCTTAATTGTACTTGTATTCATACGATTACCTGTACAAACTGCTGGACTGCGTCGGCGGGCAAATGAAACACTTTGTTGTTATCAGATTGAAACTGATAAAGGTAAATTAACCGCCGTAGCGAGTTAGTGAAACTGACGTTTCCAGCATTAACCCTTCGTCCGTGACTTTGCTCAGACGAAAGCGTACGATTTTAACGTTGACTTGAAGTTGACAAATAGCTTCCTTTTTTCCCTATTTTTAAGGATGTAACAACACGTTGACAGCTGTCAGTGGCACTCTTACGTCAATAAACTATCCAAAACATTATCCGAATGGACAGTACTGCTCGTGGAAGGTCATTGTCAACACGATACAACAAATACACTTAAAGTTTGAAAGCTTTAGTTTGCAAATAGAGAGTTCTACTGACGAGCTACATGTGTATGATGGAGAAGATGAAACAGGGGAGGTGTTAGGAGTGTTTTACGGAGGTCACCCTCCTCCAAAGGAGGGAATCTACTCTTCATCAAGCCGAATGTTTTTGATATTCAAATCAGACAAGAAAAACTCATACAAAGGCTTCAGCGCTTCTTATGTTGTTGGTAGAAAACCGGGTAAGTCTTATTAGCTTCCGTAGTTTTGTTCGTAATGTCATGGACTTAATTAAAAGTAAAAACCTCTAAATTCTTATTGGCTGCTTGTTACCACGTGACAACGCACGACGGCACAGTAAATTCCTAGTTCCTTTTTCTTTCATTTACATTTTTGTCCTTCACCGTATTTTTGACCTTTTTGTGATGGCAATAGTCAGTACACATAAATGTAAATTATAAGAGTTACTGGAACCAAAAGGTAATTATATGCGGTGTTTCAGTTCTATTGGGGAGTGCTAACCTTTCAAAAGTTTTGCAATATTCCTTTGCTAAATTAACTTATTGTTCCCGTCGTATATAACAGTTCCTCGAGTCACACCTACGAAAGTACCAACCTCAGCAGCACGTATCACGTCACCGCATATCCTTACTTCTAAGATCTCTATAGCCTCAAAACTGACGTCATCGTCCACTGCTTTGCTACTTCAACAACACAAACTTTGAAAGTGACGTCCTCGCCTGTTGTTCCTACCACGACTGCTAAAACCTCAAAGTTAACGTCATCGTCCCCTACACAAGCTTGGGAAATGGCGTCGTGGTCTTATGTTATTTCTATGACCCTGCGTACTACAGAAATAACGCATTTATCTCCGATTACTCCTACAGCACAAACTCTTAAAGTGACGTCCTCGCCTATTGTTTCTACCACGACTGCTAAAACATCAACGTCATCGTCCTCTACACAAGCTTCGGAGATGGCGTCGTCGTCTTATGTTATTTCTATGACTCCAGAAGTAACGTATTTATCTCCGATTACTCCTACAACAGATACGCTGATAAAAACGACACCCAGAGGAAAACCTTGGACATCGACAACTAAAGTGCCGCCGAAGATAGGTAAGAAAAACGTAATAAAACATGTTTAGTACCCGACTTGTCGAGCGTCTACTTTTTGCAAGTAGTACGTATGGTTATGGTGGCGAGCCTTTTCTTCGTTTTTTGAAAAAAATGATTCGTGTTCGTTTAAAATTTTCGTAAATCGTTTGTTTAGCATTAAAACCAGGAGCTCTAGCTTCCTATAGACTAATAGTTGGCGACGGTGAGGCTCCAGGTTAATCACGGAAGTGGAACAAAACCGAGAGCGAATAGTTTTATTATCTTAGTATAATTGGCCAGGGGCTCAACCATCATTTATTGATCATAGACTACATACAAAAATAGTTTTGTTTTCACAGTATTGTTTTCTACCTCGCACAAATGATGCACAAGAAAACGCACTTGAGTTAAAGCATTATTGTGTTCTGAAAGGTGGCATTTGGACGAGGAGTGTGGTAAAGTGCAGTTGTCTAAAATTCAAATTGGTACTGAAATGGTAACTGAGACTGTTACATACTAAGGAAAATTTAAAGTCGAATGGCCAGAACGGTTGATAATTTAAAACAACTCTGTTTTTTTTTGTTGTCGTTGTTGTTGTTTTTTTTTTTCAGGATATAACGAAACTCTAACTGCAGTCAATGGCACTTTCCAGTCAACAAACTGTCCAAGAAATTACTCGGATGGACAGTACTGCTTCTGGAGAATCGCGCTTACCACAGCGCAACAAATCTACTTAATATTCTCAAGCTTTAGTTTGCAAAATGAGAATAACAGAGACGCGTTTTACATGTACGATGGACAGAATGCGACAGGGGAGGCATTGGAGGAGTTTAACGGAGGTCACCCTCCCCCAAAGGAAGGAATCTGCATCTCGTCAAACCGGGTATTTGTTGTATTCAAATCAGACAAGGCGGGATCTTTCCACGGCTTTAGTGTTTCATATTATGGGGTTAGTAATTCGGGTGAGTGTTTACGAACCCTTGCAGGGTCGTTTTCGTAACCAATAGTGTTCGATCTGAATGCGTTTGCATATAACAACACATAACAAGGCATGGCAGTCGACAAACCAATAGTCAAACACTACACTCTGCTATTATAGCTAAGTAGCTGGTATGCAAGTGATAACCTTTCATAAGTTAGTGGAATTAAAATTAAAGTGACACTATCTTCCATGACAATTAGAGCCCTGTGCCATCGCAGCCTCACAGGCGTCAAAGGAAAGTGGAAAGAAGGATGAAAAAAAGCAGCCAAAGAGAAAAGGTATACTGAAACTCAATTTTCCTCTGCTAAGATAATCATCCTCACTTCCCTTATAGATTATTCGAGGGCGACTTGTACACCTGAAAGTCTAATTCGAGGCAAGAGAGTCTCTAGAACAGTGAGGAAAGTTCACTGAGACCATGAGTATAGATTAAGATTTCAGAAGCAACCTGAGAAATGCCATGAGGGTATGGGCAGCATAGTACATAATTGACACTTTTGGTCTGATTTAAATTTCCTCCATAATTATCGTATTGAATTAATGTTATTACCCTTCTTCAATAGGAGACAGAAGTGTTGAGACACTTAACTGTAAAATTATGCTTTTGAGAGTCCTGGAAACAGTTTTTCCCCTCTCCCCCAACAACGTACATTTTGTTTCTCTGAGACTACGCAGACCACATCACCTGCATAACATTGAATTGGTGGAGAGGCGGGGTATCAGAGAATTATCGCCAGATGCATTTAAGTGGGCAAATATCATAGAGTATCATTTCCTTAGTGTCCCAACCACTTTTGTCGCTTATTGTAGTTATTTGGCTTGCTTAATTTATATATTTATCACGTTTTTATTTGCTTGTATTTGTTTTTAGTGTATATATAAAGTGTATGCTGAGTGTAGTAGGGGGTTACATTGCAATTGGCACGCTAGTTCTGTTTCTTTCCCCCGTCACATCCCGTACTCCAGTTTAATCTCCCGTAAGCGACCACCTTAAATGTCAAGCCTAGGTGGTCTCTTACGGGAGGTGGTCGCTTACGAGAGCTTAGGCCATATTGGATCCAAATTTGCCTCATTAGCACATGGTGCTGCAGAGACTTACCCCATGCGCCAATGCCTATCTAAACCCATGTAATAACTTTTAGTAGCCACAAATAATATTTTTAAGATTTCCAAAGTATTTATTCGGGGTATCATGGTTCGCTTCTGATTAACTACCTAATAAGGCGAACAGAATAACACCTTATTATCCAATTTTTGCTCTATTATCTGTTACAAGTGGTCACTTACTGGAGGTTAAAAACAAAAGAAAATTTCGAACTTTTAGCTTTAAAAGTGGTCGCTTACGAGAGGTGGTCGCTTACAGGAGGCTCCAAGTATAGTGATTTGACTCAGAAGTTTTTGGTATTTTGGAAAACTGGTCGCTTACGAAAGGGTCGCAACCGGAGGTTCCACTGTATTTTGGATTTATTTGCCTTTTGCAAGATAGTTGTTTGTCTATCTGAATGTATTTGTTCTTATATTTTGGTGAAAAAACAATAAACCTAAAGCTCTAGTTACCTTTAGTTTACAGGTTTAAATGGGGTAGTTGTTGTTGTTCCCGTGGTGTCAGCAATTCTTATAGCTGCCCTGCTTGTAGCTGGAATCTGTTATATGAGGTAATCGCATATAATGTATGAAATCAAAAACAGAATAAACAGTTTTAAAATTGGGATTCTTCTTATTTAAGGTTTTAAAATTGCAAGAAGATCAAACGTCATTGTTCATCATACCTTGCTATTTGTTTCCAAAAATTTGTACTGTATTTGTGAATTTGTTTGTTTCAGGAAAAGGAGGAAAAGAGTTGAAGGAACAGACGATGAAATTCATTTAAGGTGTTTTTATTACTTTGTTTTACAAAAAAGTAAAATGGTCCTTTAAATTGTTCACAGATTTGATAGAGTAACAAAGTATGTTCTTGAGGTCGTTCAGTCGGCTTACTGCCTTGAAACAAACAACACCACCTCTGCTGGTATATAAAGGCTTGTATTTTACTGCTTTTTAGGTTAACCAGCGAACCAGCTGGGTCAGTTGAAAATACAGATTTATGACAAGTAAGCATCAAAGGTAATCAAAACCCTCTTGCATTTTCCAGTTCTAAAAAATTATAATTATTATTAGATTTGAAGACAATTGTCGGGCTGTTAGATTGTCACTGTGTGAAATACCTGGCAGTGGGTATATATGAAATGATATCCTATACGAGAAACACATCCCAGACATAACACACTTAACACAGTAATGGCCAGTTATCGATATCTTGAAACCAGTCACCCCTATATCATTTCAGAACCATTTCTTGTCATAACATTAAGTATCAATTCTGATCTTGAAATTATTGTAGAGATTCGAAATTTTGTCATTGCAAAACTGTTTTGGCAAATATTCAGTTAACCCTAGTGATTGTATTTTACGTATTTGTCTTATTTTCTGTTTTTGAAACTTGATACTGTCATTATTTTTATCAACATGATCAACATGAGTGCATACTATACTTACTTTAGACTAGTGCGCTTAATTTTTCTGACCAAACCTAAACTCATAGTCAGCATTTGCTCTTTCTTTGTCTTTTTGTAGCTCCGATTGGAAAAGGAAGCCCGGAGGCCGGCTTATTGCAAGTTCGCGAGCTGATCGAAAGAAAGTTTAGATCAAATGTGGAGTTTGATTGCTTCAAATAAACGGTGCCTGCAAAAGCTCGGAAAGACAATGATTGAACAACGAAAAGCCAAACAGGAAATAAAGGGTCTCACTGACAAGACTGACAAGGATGCAAGTTTTCAAAAAGACAAATAGATACCGTTTTAATCATGCCACTTTAAGTCGCAAAGTTTAAAAAGGCCTTCACCATGGTTTCGAGTTCAGGGCATGTACGCCCCTTATCACCCCAAGATAAGTTAACCAATAACGGACCTTTTTACTAACAATGTATGCCCTCTACAAGCGAAATACAAAGATTTCTTTAGCGGTGTGGAAACGTTGTTTTCAGTTGTACTTATTGCGCAATTTCTGTTTTACATGCCTGACAACTTCTCAGCAAATATACCAATATAGTTCATCACATCTGAATAGTTTACAGTTGTCTTTTTCACCTTAATGTAATTTAGATTAAAGCTGAAATAAAGTGGAACATACTTGGTTATCAATAGTTTTTTGTCCTTCGCATATTTTCTTGCTACGTTCATTTTCGAGGGCATTCCAGAGCGAAAGTCCAATTTCTCAAGGATTGCATCCGCCATAAGAATATTTGATTTCACCTTTGAAGCGCCCAAGAGAGTCTATTTTCCGTAGGTTAATTGGCAAACTGTTCCATTGTGATACCCCACTATACATGTAAGTAAGACTTTCTTAGTGGCTTGGACACTTGTTGAAGTTTTGTTTTGTCCACGAGATATCCACTGGAAGAGTTTTTCATATCGTGGTGCTAGACTATGAAATTCTCTTCCAAATTCGATGAAAGCAGAACTGTCTCTTAGGTCATTTCGTTAATCTCTTTGCACACTCACTCTCCACAATAGCAATTAACACTAGTAATTTTCAATCATGAAATTTTGTAATTGTATTGTTTTTAGTAATTTCTTGGCACGGCTCTCTTGGAAACCAATTCTTTGTAACTGAAGAGATACCGTGTTGAAATAAATAGTCTGTCTGTCTGTCTGTCTGACTGGACCCTTTGTTTGTAATGTATAATATATTAATTTATGCATGATCTGTGTAACGGACGTTTCAGATTTCTGAGAAACCGAAAGGTCATTATGGAACTCTTTGCGTTCGCTATTCATCTTAGCTGAACATTGGCATATTGTTTATCGAACCAGACAGGATGCTGTGGCAAACTTATGCGATAACTGTCCTGTTCAGCCTGCAATCATCAGGTAGGTTTAAAGAGCATGTTCTCGAGATCCCATTGACATTGCAAGCTGGGAAATGTAAACAATTGTGACTCGAAACTAAAAATACATTCCTGTCTTTGACGACATTATTTGACACAGTTTCTGATAACAGGTTAAAATAATGACTGTAAGGGCAATAACTGAGCAAAAGACAGAGTGATCCTGGCCGTACTAGTGGTCGCATTTAACTGGAAAAAGACAATAGATACATCGTATAGTTTTAAAAGCAACGACCTTCCGAAAGTAGCGACCATTCGAAAAGACGCGCAAAAGTCTTAAGGTTTTTAGAAAATCTTGTAGGCGGATGTATCGACCCTCGTAAGTAATTTCTTCAAACGTGACTTCTTGTCAGAGAAAGAGGAACAACAGACAGAAGAAGCAGTTCAAAACTGATGTGACGTAAGTACAATTACGATGGGAATATATAATTTTTTAAAACTAGGTTCGATCTTTTCATCTCTCTACATAAAACAACCGAAGGAATGTTTCCTTTCACGAAGTATGGTATACGTTTTATAGCTAACCATTGTTGATTAAATGGCACCCTTACAGAAGCTTTTGGAAAAGGCTGGCAAATTAGAATTCTAACAAGGGTCGTGTTGTTTTGAAACTCTACGTTAAGATATGCGTACAGCATTCCGCATATCAATTTCGAAAGTATTCAAAGTTTATTACAGGACTTCCTGAGCAGTTACTGAGCTTTGTTTTGCGAGGATCTTTTTGAGCCGGGCGGCCAAAATCAGCTAAGTTTTGAAGGAATAGCTCGAAAAGATGAATTTAAGCAGCCGAAGGAGAATTGAGAATGCAAAGGGCTTAATTTGTAGAAAGTTTACCCCAATAGAATCGAATCGAAGAATCCAATCGAATTAAAGTCAGCAAAGTAGAATGAAATGGAGTTTCTTCTCGACAATTTATGTCGACAAGACTGAGTTCTTCTGATAACTGATCTTGCTATACGGTAGGAATCATGCAAATTTGGCGGGATATTCTCGGAAAGTTATTTGACCTGGAGTAGTCAACCGGTGATCATTAGTACGACGGGTATGGAACATTTGTTTAGTCAAATTCAGTCAATCGAACTCAGTCGCCCGAATCATCTTACATCGAACGGCTATCCACGTTTTTGTGTATAATACAGGAATACGCAACGCAAGCGAGGAAAGGATTGTACTCTGTTACCATATCTTTATCTGCTGATTACTGCACGCTCGCTGCATTCCCATACAAACTCTTATCATAATATTTACATTATTATTCTTAAGATTATTCAAGACAGACAACCGACGTATTCTTTCAATACAGGGGACATCACCAAAACAACTAGAAAGTCATGATCATCATCTTTTAAAATGTCTTATGATAAAACATTCTACATAATTAAATGAAGTCTTAGCTAAGAATACATATAAATGATTGTTACACTTAAAAAGCTGTATTCTCAGACCATACTTATGGAACCATGTTAAGCTTCAGACAGTGAATTGATATCAATCACTATATTTTAATTTAATCCATAGAAAAGCTCGACAGAGATCTCCCGCCGTTATATATGACCAACTGAAGCAGATATGTAAATGTATAAAATAGAAAGCTACAATAGCATTCTTCAAAATTCGATCTTCTTGAAACTTTTATCATTGAAAGTGGTTTTTTTTTCCTTAGCCTAACTATTTAGTCTTGATATAATGATAAACATGTTTTAAACTTTTGTCGACTGTCCCTTGACCGTACCATTACTTTACAGGGTCTGTTCAATGGCCAGCTGGAACATACGGAATACCCAAACCTAGAGCCGGGTGTCCTCAGGCTGATGGCTTTCGTTGGCAGACGGGATGGAGACTACAGGACACAAATTATTTTGACGATCGTAACAAATCAAACAACTCAAGGTCTCCGCAATTCCACATCGACGGAAAAGTAAAGAAAATTACAGTTAATCGATCGTTTTGCATGAAAGAAAATACAACTGATGACAAGGATAGACCCGAGTGGCCACAAGGTTCGTCAAGTACTTTCTCCATTCCCGATTATGTCTCCTGGCGTAGTTTATTAATTTAATGTTCAGCACGAAACCTTAATTTTACTCGGTGACTTCTAACGTGTCTAAAAGACACGTGTTGCATGCAGCTCGTGTCTTTTTAGACTCGCGGTATTCTTAGAGAATCTGACGTGTATACTCTCTTGAGTAGATGATTGAACTGTGCCATCATTGACCATCCACTGATACAGTGCCACACTAATGCAAAACGTTGTAAAACGTCAAGTTCCAAGAAGTTGAGAAATGACTCCAGCCTATTGGACATGAAAATTTTCCAATTTCAATTCCAACTCCAATTCAATTCTATATTTACACAATCATATCAGGGTGGAAAATTACCGAACAGCTCTCAAAACTCTCAACTTGATGGCCTTAACTCATATTTCTTTTGCCTTTAGTGTTGTGAATGTGTGGGTCACGATCACATCAAGTGATCAATTTCAAGGTAGCACATGAAGAATATCAGATACAGTGTTTCTGTGGTCATATGCATATCTCTTACATGAATCTACCTGGAGCTAGTAGCCTCGTTTGTGAATTGAGTATATTGCCTGAGTAAAGGGGTTTTGTAGTACAAAATAAAAAAAGGGTTGCTACATTTTTTTCAACATCTCCTAAACAAAGTAGAAATCTATTCCATTCCCAGCAGGAGTAGTCATGTGGTAAGAAAGATTATGATTTGATTTTAATAACCTTAACGGATTCAACCATTCCTTTTGCTAAAGCAACGTTGCTTTCAAAGAAAGTTTCTTATACTTTGCCGTGGGTCTTACCATAACATGGGCCAAACACGTGTTAGAGTCAACCTCGCTCTACGAGATGCTGAACAGTCAAAGGAGTCTATATTTCGTAGACTTTAAGGCATGTTTGCTAATTGGAAAGATCAAACTAAAGAAGTGTTTACAAAATCGTCTATACATTTGCATCTTGCTGAACTTATTATTGCATGATAGCATGAAACACGACAAGACCTGGTCGTTCATTAAATCTAACGCTCATTTCAGGGAAATACTGTATTTATAAAAAAGGCCCCTGTCCTGAAGGTTTGACATCAGGATGGGTCTTCTGGAATGACGACCAAGAACTCGATTCAAATAAAAAGGATGGTCTTCTTCCTGATGGCGATTACGGGGAATCTACGGAGATTGCGTTTTGTTGTAGAACAGACGGAGACAAAGACGATCCTGTCCCCCTTCCTTCTAAATCTCCATTTTTTCTGCTGGCTTACGAGTCCATGAAATGCCAGAAGGTGAAGGGGGCAGAAGCTAGTTTGGAGTGGATATATTATTCTACAAGTGACCGGAACAACGACGACCAACGAAATGGCTCGTATCCTTACAACGCTGGCAAAATGCACCCCACCATTTATTACTGTTACTATCAGGGTGAGAAAACATGCAATGTAAATTAGAGCGAACATTTCGCCCAGCAGCTGAACTCTGAAATGAAAACTCGGACTGCGTGAAATTTCTCACCAACCCCAACACATACATGACAATCATTTGACGAATTCAATTTTTGCTGGCAATGTAATTTTTACAGCTTATCAAGCCCAAGACCTCTCACTCCTTGTACCAATTACAGTAAGGACACTTGAACTGTGAACACTTAACAGTTTTTTTGTACATTTTTTTGATGACCATGGAATAAAGCCTCTTCATATAATGTATAATGTTTGTATTTTTTTTAAAAGTGTAAAAACGCTAAATACTCTTGTTAGAAGGGAAGGCCCGCATTCTATGGTCACTAAAAATATGTTTAAAAAGTCGTAAGTGTTCACGGTTCGAGTGTCGTCACTGTAAAATTCCCAAATATGTAGGGGACGGCAATTTTCAAGGACAATCTCAAAGCAATTTGTTTTTATTTTCTAGGGCGTTAAAAAACCTGACAGACGTCAGTGGCACTCTCAAGTCACTAAACTATACAAAACATTATCCGAATGGACAGTACTGCGAATTTTTCACCTTTTGTTACATAAAGAGTACTCACTACACATAAGTGTAAATTGTAGTAGTTATTGGAACCAAAAGGTAATTTAGTAGTAGGTTGAGACTCAGGGTGACATCTGCCGATGCTCATGGCAGAGGTAAATATTCGATCTGCCAGACATTGACAAATTAAGAATTTTCTATAGAGATTTCAATAATTGTCGAACAGCTGTGAGCATGTGTAACTTAGCTGTTGATTTCTTAGTAGTTGTTGTCGTTTTTCAGTGGGAACCGCGCAAAAGGAGTGCTTGGTGTGCCACTTTCTTTTGACTGCGCACATGGTACATAATAATGTCCATGGTGTTTATAGTGGTTCAATGTTTGATTATATGTAGTGTTTCAGTTCTACTGGAACTCAAACTCTCAAAATTTGTGCACAATTTCCTTGTTAAATTAACTTACTTTTCCGTTATATATAGCGGTTCCTACAAAAGCACAAACCTCGGAAGTGACTTCACCAGAAGACACATCATTACATGTCCTTACTTCCAAGACCTTTACGGCACCAAAGGTGACATTATCGTCCACCGCAACATCGATAACAGAAACTTCGAAAGTGACTTTCTCGCTGGTTACTCCTGCCACGACTGCAAAAACCTTAATGGTGACGTCATCGTCCTCCACACGATCTTCGGAAATGGCGTCGTCGTCTTATGTTATTTCTATGACCCTGCAGTCTCCGGAAGTAACGCATTTATCTCCGATTACTCCTGCAGCACATACGCTGATAAAAACAACACCCAGAGTTAAACCGTGGACATCAACAACTAAATTACCACCAAAGATAGGTAGAAAAAGCATGATAAAACAGTTTTAGTACCCGACTTTTCGAACGTCTACTTTTTACAAGTACTGTACTAAAGGTTATGGTAGCGAGCCTCTTCTACTTTTTTTCTTGTTTGTATAACATTAGACTTCGAGCTGTAGCTTGCTATAGATCAACAGATGGCGACGATGAGGCCCCGAGTCAACCAGGGAAGTGGAACAAAACAGAGAGCGAACAACCTCATTATTTTAGCATAACTGGCCAGTGCCTCCGCCATTCTTTATCAGTCATAGGCCAAAGATAAAAATGATTTGTTTTTGCCGTTTAATTTTCTACCTTGAACAAATAGCTCATTAACAACTGCCCTCGAGCTTCTAGGGCCTTCTCCCAGTTGAACAGAGTAACTGCCTCCTTAGATTCTTAAAAAGGTACGTGACATCAGACACGGTGTGTTCCATAGACTCGGTAAGCAGAGTCTACAGGACGCACCAGCTAGTTTACAGGTGCGCCAAGAAAAAAGAATAACAAACTAAAAGTGTATGTAAAATTTGGTTTGTTGCTTAGTGCAGTTGCCTGAAAGTCAAATTGGTACTGAGAAAGCAACTGAAACTGACAGGGGAAACATGATATACAGCAACATATTAAGGAAAATCAAAACGATAGATAACCCAAAACAATTCTTTTATTCCAGGATGCAACGAAACCCTAACTGCAGTCAATGGCACTTTCCAGTCATCAAACTATCCAAGAAATTATCCGGATGGACAGTACTGCTTCTGGAGAATCACGGTTATCACAGTACAACAAATCTACTTAATATTCTCAAGCTTTAGTTTGCAAAATGAAAATAACACAGACGTGCTGTTTGTGTATGATGGAGATAATGCGACGGGGAAGGCATGGAAAATGTTTTACGGAGGTCACCCTCCCCCAAAGGAAGGAATCTGCATCTCGTCAAATCAGATATTCGTGGTATTCAAATCAGACAAGGAGGGATCTTTCCACGGCTTCAGCGTTTCATATTATGGTGTTAATAATTCGGGTAGGTGTTTTTGGGTCCTTTTAAGGCCCCTTCAAGGCCCTTTTAAAACTGGCATAAAATATGCGATTATCTATTAACTCTGATTGCTTTTGCATATATACAAAACATAAGAAGGCATGGCAATCGAAAAATCAATAGTCAAACACTACACTCTCTTATTATAGCTAAGTAGTTGGCATGCAAGTGATAACCTTTCATATAAGTTAACACAATGAAAGTGACACCATCTTCCATGAAATTTAGAGTCCTGTGCCATTGCGGCCTCGCAGCCGTCAAAGGAAAGTGGAAAGAGGAATGAAACAAAACTAACACAGAGGAAAGGTAAAACACTCAATTTTCCTCCGCTAAGATAATCATCTTCACTTCTCATGGCGATGATTCGATGGTAACTAGTGCACCTGAAAGTCTAAATCGAATCAAGACAGTCTCTATAACAGGGAGGAAAAGTTGACTGAGGCCATGAGTATAGATTAAGATTTCAGAAGTAACCCGAGGAAAATCATAACGCTATGGGCAGCATAGTACATAATTGACACTTCCGGTCTGCTTTAAATGTCGATTCCATATTTATCGTACTCTCATTAACGTTATTATCCTTCTACAATAGGAGACAAAAGTGTTGAGACACTGTAAAGTTCTGTTTTCGGCAGTCCTGGAAACAGTTTTCACCCTCGCCCCCCCTGAAGGATAAACTGCTACGCAGTCCCCATCACCTACATAACATTGAATTTGGGGAGGGGAGGAGGAGGGGGAGAGAGGGAGGAGGCGGAGGTGTCAAAGAATTATCGCTAGATGCCTTTAAGGGGATAGATACCGTAGAGTATCATTTCTTTAGTGTCCCAACCAGTTTTGTCGCTTATTGTAGTTATTCGGTCTGCTCTAAGTACCTTTAGTTTATAGTATTTTCCTGTTTGCAGGTTTAAATGTGGTAGCTGTTATTGTTCCAGTGGTGTTAGCAATTCTTCTAGCTGCCCTGGTGGTAGCTGGAATCTGTTATATAAGGTAGGAGCATACAATGTATGAAATCAAAAACAGATCAAACAGTTTTAAAATTGGGATTCTCTTTTTATTTAAGGTTGTATAAATTGCAAGAAAAATCAGTATAAATCATAGTTTGCCATTTGTTTCCTAAAAAGATGACTGCATTTGTGAATTTGGTTGTTTCAGGAAAAGGAGAAAAAGAGTTGAAGGACCAGAAGATGACATTTTACTTAGGTGATTTTATTACTTTTTAACAAAAAATAAAATAGGCATTTAAAATTCAGTTTTAATGTTTTTATATCTGTTTTAAACTCCTTTTTTAAATTTTAATCACGGGCACAGATCGCTCCAAAAGTTTTATCCTTTAAAGTAATTTACAGATCATTTTATTATTTAAGATTGTATAAAGTGCAAGAAGATCAAAAGCGAATCAGTGTCAATCGTAGTCCGCCATTTGTTTCCTAAAAATAAATACTGCATTTGTGAATTTGGCTGTTTCACGGAAATGAGAAAAAGAGTTCAAGGACCAGACGATGAAATTTTAAGGTGTTTTTATTACTTTTTTACCGAAGAAATAAAATAGTCCTTTAAAATAATTTACAGATTTGATATGATATTATTTAAGATTGTATAAATTGCAAGAAGATCAAAAGCGAATCAGTATCAATCATAGTTTGCCATTTGTTTCCTAAAACAATTACTGCATTTGTGAATTTGGTTGTTTCAGGAAGAGGAGAAAAAGAGTTGAAGGACAAGACGATGAAGTTTTAAGGTGTTTTTATTACTTTTTATTACAAAAAGTAAGAAAGTCCTTTTAAAGTAATTCACAGATTTGATATGATAGAGTAACAAAGTACGTTCTTTGAGCTCGTTCAGTCGCGTCACTGTCTTAATTCAAACAAACAACACCACCACTGTTGTTATTAAAACGCTTGCATCTTACTGCTTTTTAGGTTAATCAGCGAACCAACTGCGTCAGTTGGAGATACAGAATTATGACAAGTATGAAAGGTAATCAAAACCCTCTTGCATTTTCCATTTCTAAAAAGTTCCAATTATTACAAGATTTGAAGACAATTGTTAGGCTATTAGATTGTCACCGTGTGGTTAGCTTGCGTGGCAGGCGTTCAAAGGAGATGGAAAACTAAGAGTGCAAAGCGAGATCAGAGGTTAAGTCTTCATACAAGCCAAGTGGCCCATCAGACCAGAGCTTATCCCAGTTTCAGTAGCATGACGCGATTAGGAGTATTTCGATTCTCCCCTGGATAGGATACTAGTCCATCGCGGGGTTAGCCCCCAGCATTACATTCGCCGGTACCCGGTGGAGAGAGGCACTGTGAGAGTAAAGTATCTTGCCAAGATGAGTCCGGCCATGGCTCGAACCCGGACCGCNAAAAAATTGTTTTGGAAAATATTGCTTCTTCATGATTCAGTTAACTCTAGTGAGTATTTGTGTCCTAATTCAATTTTTGAACTTGAATTTTAACATTATTATTATCAACATATAGACGGATCTAAATGAGAGCACAGTATACTTCTTTTAGATTAGCGCGCTTAATTTTTCTGACCAAACTTAAACTTATTGTCAACATGTGCTCTTTCTTTGTCTTTTTGCAGCTCCGATTGGAAAAGGAAGCCTGGAGGGCAGAGTGCAAGTTCGCGAACTGATCGAAAAAACGTTTAGTTCCCATTTAGAGTTTTAGTGCTTGAAATGAAATAAACGGTAACTGCAACAGCTAGGAAAAGACATTGATTGAACAACGAAAATCCTAATCGGAAATAAAGGGTCTCATTGACAAGACTGACAAGGATGCAAGTTGTTTAAATACTAATGATACCGTTTTAATCATGGTACATTTAGTCACAAACTGAATTTAATGAGGCCTTCACAATGGTTTCATGTACGCCCCTATCACCCTGAGATAAATCAGCTACTAACGGAACTTTTTGCTAACAATGTATGTCCTCTACATGCGAAATACAGAGTTTTCTTTAACGGTGTAGAAACTGATTGTATTCCGTTGTACGCATTGCGCTGTTTTTCAAGACTGACAATTGCAACTTCTCACTTCTCAGCAAATATTTCAACATAGTTCATCACATTAGAATAAACATGGGCAGTTGTCTTTTTTACCTTAATGTGATACAGTTTGAAACTGAAATAAAGTGGAACATATTTAAATTTCAATAATTTTTTGTCCTTCACATCGTCCTGCTACACTAAGGTTCCTTAAAAAATTCAAGGACTTTTCGAGAACATTCCAGAGCAAAATTCATTTTTTTCAACGACTCCATCGACTAGAAAAATGTCATTAGAATTTGACACTAGATGCTCAAGTAAAAAAGAGGTGATAATTAACTTGTAAGTAATGGTTTTACTCTTAAAATAGGAAAGAAAAAAACTCAGTTTAGTGGCATAAAAATTGTCCCTGCTTACAGACGATCCATTTTCCAAGTTGAGTGGCTCATAGTCATTTTGATTTAGTTCTTTCCCCACGTGGTCAATTTTTTTTTTTTGTCAAGCTATTTGGCAGCTTGCTCTTTTTCCTTAAAATTTCATGGGTTTTTCAAGGGTCCAATGTACTTTTCACGGAATTTCAAGACCTTAGATTTTTATTTTCAAATTCAAAGAACTTCAAGGTGCCTACCAACTCTGTTAATTTATTTTCACTTTGACCGCAAAAAGTTAACTCTATCCTGGGCAGACGAGGAGGTGGGTACTAGGAACCTTGGTCCCTCATTAGTTTTCATCGCCTTGCGGTGCATGACTGTTTGCGCCATTTTTGGCGATACTGCTGGCAAGGCCGCACTACACAAGTGTTTTTGCTCTTTCTTCTTCTATCTCCCTATATTCAGATTACTCCGTAGGTAATACTACGGTTTGACTTGGGCCGATATTTTTTGTCCCACCTTTACGGGGCCAAATCATAAGTGCATCATATACGGTAGCAACTTGAAAGAGGTGTTCATAAACAACTAAAGATAAAAATTGGTACCTGGCATTGGTGCCGCTTCCCATGCCAATGTTTGTATTCGAAATTTCCTTCCGACCTTTCTCTCTCCATACTGTTGTCATCTATCACGGATAAGTGAACTATGAATGACATTTAACCGCATGTGTTAACATGCGTTTACACCGTCGTAGTCATTTCACGATGTTCTTTGCACAGGACGGTAATAAAGAAATGTGCAGAGATACTGTACGCGGTGTCCTCATGGATAGTGTGTTTGTCTCCGGATCGAACGGTCCGGGTTGGAGTCCTCGCCGAGGTCATTGTGTTGTGTTCTTGGGCAAGACACTTTACAAACCCTAACCCTAACTCCTAACCCTAACGAATTTAGTCCTGGGTATAACCCTGCGATGTACCAGCATCTTACATGTATCCAGGAATGAGTAGAAATACTCCTAGTCGCTTCATGCTACAGAAACCGGGATAAGCTCCGGCCTGATGGGCCACTTGGCTCGAATGCAAACTTTACCTCTATGTGGTTGCCATCGTGATTTGGTTATACGTGCCCACTGTTTTTGCAATGTAGGCACGGCTTCGAATTCGTTCACTGAAGATGTAGATTTATTACGGCAAGTCCTACTCTTCCATAGCTAAAAAAATCTCTTGAAGTTATTTCTGGGTAAAAAATTCCGAAGATTAACAAACTGTACATATTAATTACTGACGTTCACTATTTGCATAGCAAAAGTTTCCGAGAACCCAGTGAAACGGCATCGACATTTGGATCTGTAAAGATCTTACAGTGAATGAGATGGTCTTGTGGCGGGTTCTAGTCATTATAACCTTAAGATCCAGCCCCTTATTATCAGGTAGGCACGTGAGGGAACTAATTAAAAAGAATTCTTACATCAACTTTGAAAAATACGTGGAGATAAATCGGTGAGTATTTCAGACCCGGAGGGTACTCCCTGAATTTTTAGGCGCAGTTGGGTACGTGTTGCTGGGCAGGGTATGACTTTATTTTAGACATCTTTGAGTCGTTTTGAACTGGGCACACATTATCATTAGTAGTAACCTAATCAGGACAATGCAACTGTCTGGTGTTTAACTGTGGAAGGATTTGAACGGGGTGTGTTTGCATAGACGTATGGAAGTAAACTGAACCTTCTGTTATGTACAATATTGGTTGTATTTATGTTGCTTTAGAGTGATTCTAGCTTGTTAGGTTACCCATTAACATTGTGAATAAACGAAACGATTTATTTTTAAATACGTTGAACTGTCACTGTAAACATACTCTAGACCAAGTCTAAAATGCAGACTGCAGACTACAGACTTTTTAAGTACTATATATCGTGTTATTTCGAGTACTAACCGGACACAGGGTTATTCAGGCTAATCGTGGTGAAAGTTTGAACTCCGATGATCCTAATCACTCCGGTTGGACTTAATATCACTCCGGTTAGCCTAAATAACGCTCCGGTTAGCCAGGTTACGGTCAACGTTCAATGATGGAATTCTGATAAAATGTCTTTAATCTGTATTCTGCGGTCTGCATTTTACCCCTGGTCCGCGGCAGTCTGCATTTTACCCTTCAGTCTGCATTTTACCGCGGTCGACAGTCTGCGTTTTACATTGACCGATACGTTGAAACCCTTTTTTACCACAACCAAAATGTTTACTTAGCTGTTTGTAAAAATGTTCGTGATAAATTCCTAGGTAGTTGCGTGCTTAGGGATAGACTGAGCGCTGGAAGTGCTGAATCCACCTTACTCTAGGAACACTTGACAGAACTAATCGCAATCACTTTGATTTTTGAAATCTGAAGGGTAACAAAATTTACAGTTCTAGCCAAACCGGTACCTTTAACACCTGAATAACCCATCACCCATTTAGCAGCTTTCCTAGAAAAAACGCATCCTTTTCTCCGATTCTTCTAAGAAAGATCAAAGTGTCTCCGCTCGCAAAGTAGCTGACGGCACAGTGTTATGATTGCCTCGGAATTGTATGCTTGACAAAAATAATGTCTCCTATTTTTTGCGTGAGTGTCAGTTTACGTTTTGTAGTTTAAGGCTTCAAAATTGTGAACAGTGTATTTTTTACAATCAGCTAGGGAAAGTTTTCGAGGTGTTTCTTGTCAAATTTAGAAAAGGTGAAAGCGGAAAGCTTCTAAAACACTCCTGCCACTTTGCAGATTTTAATTGTTTTTCTACTGCAATGTTCTTTGTTTGTGGGATTGCTTTACAGAGTCTGTTCGTTGGCCAGCTGGATTATACGGGATACCTAAACCTGCATCTGGGTGTCCCCGGTCAGATGGCTTTGTACGGAAGGAAGGGTGGAGATCGCAGTCCACTCATGGTAGACCATCAAATAGCACTAAATCAATGGAATTTCACCTTGATGGGATAGTAGATGACACGAAAGTCAAAATATCGTTTTGTATTAAAGAAGATATAGCCGACGACGGAAGCAGATCTGCGTGGCCACAAGGTTAGTGTTGTAAAATATTTCGTTCATTTAATTTCCAGGTTCAATTTGTTGTTTCCGATCTTATTCACTTTTCTCCACCAAGATAGTCATAACTCGGCATTACCTTTGATCGTCACTATTATCTATACTCGTTGCAGGAAAATATTGTATTTATAGGAAAAGGTACCAGTGCCCTGCAGGTTTCACGTCAGGTGATGTCTTCTGGGATGATGAAGACACTTGGAACTCGAATAGACTCGGCGGAACACTTCCAGATGGCACCTATAATACGAACACATGGATCTATTTTTGCTGTAAAACAGATGGAGATGAAGATAATCCTATCCTTCTCCCTTCTAAATCTCCATTTTTTCTGTTGGCTTACAAGTCAGCGAAATGCCAGATGGTCAAGTGGGCAGTAGCTACTTTGGAGTGGATATATTTTGACACTGAAGACTGGAACAACCAAGACCAAGCCGATGGTGCATACCCTCATGATGCTGGGAAACCACCACCTACTGTGTATTACTGTTATTACCGCGGTGAGAAAAACACAAGTTTGCTCAAATTTCGCCTTTAACTATGTGTGTAGCCACTTTCTTAGTATTGTCAAACTAATCGATTTTCTTAGTCTACGGTATATAATTTAAAGCCGCTATCTACCGCTGAATAGAGTTTCGTAAGTAGGGGGTTGACTTTTCTAGTGTTCACTTTTTGTAACATTAAGTCTTAACTGTGTCGAGAAAATGATGTCGACTCGGCCTTGTCCCGAGCGTGTTCTGCAAACGTTTTGAGTGAAAACGGCTAACTCAAAGAAATGGTGGATCGACGGAGTGTTAACGCGTTAAAAGGAAGGTTGTTGGAATTCACATACTTAAAGAAAAAATGCAGTGCATCGATGATAAATGACGACTTTCGATGGCGCACCAATCGTAGTTTTTGCAGAACCCCTGAGCACTCTTACAAATAAAGTGATTTGCTTTAGGTTTTGATTTCTCATTAGACATGACATGGTAATTGAAAGATCGCTCCCCATCAGATGATATTGTCAGTACATATTTTCTTTTTCGTTCCCAGGCTGTAACGAAACTCTAACTGAAGTCCGTGGCACTTTCCAGTCACCGAACTATCCTGGAAAATACCCGAATGGGCAGTACTGCTCCTGGAGGATCATGGTCAATGTAACTCCACACATTCACTTAACCTTCACGAACTTTAGCTTACAAAACGAGAGTAACACTGACGCGTTATACGTGTATGATGGAGAGAACGCGACCGGGGAGGTATTAGGAGTGTATCATGGAAGTAATCCTCCCCCGTTGGGAGGAATATACTCCACGACAAACCACATGTTTGTAATATTTAAATCAGACAACCAGACGGGATCTTACACTGGCTTCAACGCTTCTTACTATGGTGTTAACAAGCCAGGTAAGTGTTCATAGGGTCGAATGCACCCTTGCTCGCAGTAACTCTGGGAACCGTGAATGAATTTTTCTTCGTATTTTTCTTTTTTTCTCAGTATGTATTGTGGGGCAATATTTGTTATGTCCTACGAGGTATATATTTTTCGATTCTATTGGTTCTTCCTCATTGCTTGTCCTCGACGCTGTTAAGGCAGTGGGTATTACCCAACCTTCCTGGTCCCTAAAAGTTAACTTTTAGGTGTCCCCAACTAGTAGAGGGTTTCACCGGCTCTCGGCTATTTAAGCCCGGACAGTTAACGTTAATCAAGTTGTTGTCGTTGTTGTTAAGTAGCTAACTGATCCAATCTATTGCAAAATTCTTACTGTAATTATTACCATAAATCATATTAGTTAACCACAGTTTCTTTACTTCTTGGCTATTTATATTTCTAGTTGCTGTATCAGCGAACTCAACTTATGTTAAAACTAAGTGACGTTTGTTTGTAGCGTTTGTTAGGTGGTAACATTAATACAGTAAATTATCATTTTAAATAAAAGGAAATCACTGTGAACCGTGATGGTTGATTTGGATATCTGATTTTAACTCCTACAGGTTTTTCTCCGTTTTCTGCTTGGGTTTCTTTTTTTACTCCAACGATATATCAAGCACTCGAGACAGTGCTTCATCACATTTCCAACTGAAATTCAACAACTAAACATGAATTTTGTCAATATACTCTGCTGTGTATAACTCTTAATTTTTTTTTGGCGGGGAGAGGGGTGGGGTTTCAATGGCTTTTTTTAATCAGTGTTTAGAAATGTGTTTAAACGTTCTGATATCATGATTTTTCCCTCAGAATTAGATTCCAAGGTCACCAGTACGAGTACACAAACCACCAAAGTGAAGTCACCATCTCCTGTCACTCTTAGAACATCATACATGTATACTCTGCAAGAAACAACATCCAATAGACAGCCGCGGACATCATCAAGGCCTTCAACAACTGAAGGGCCGTCAAAGTATGGTGGGAAACACGAGGAGAAAGAACAAACTCAGAAAACAGGTAATCACACACAAATCCTGTATAAAGTTATCTCAATTTTAATCGGTGACCTAAAAGCTTTCATTAGTTATTTAGTTTCTCTTCAGTTTGGTGAACCGTGTGAAACTACTGAATAGAGTTTGTAAAAGACATAGCTGTAAAGATTTTAGCCTTGGATTATTTTTGTTGATGTTGTGGGCCTAGTACCCTTTGACGTTTCTAGTGTTTAGATTGTCTTTTATGAAATTATACACCTTTCATCCCAACATCAAGTGAAAAATAGATGAAACGTGTATCAAGGCAACACTGGCATTTATGTGTTGAGGCATCGCACATATCTTCAAAATCTCTAAAGTTTGAGGAATG